CGAAGTATCAAGTTGTGTGTCGGTTGTCGTGTGGGGTACTACGAGTGTAGTAGCTGTGTCGTTTGCTTGTACCGAAGGAAAATCGACGTAGATAGGGTTTCCTTCTAAGTACGCTGCTTTGAGTCGATCGATACTGATGCTATCGTTCGTACCGTTCTTATCGACTACATAGTACTTAGGTTCGCGTTGAAGAACTTTGAAGGGTCTTTCGTATGCTGATTCGAGGGGTCGTCGATGTGAGTCTCGACGAACGAAGACGTGTGTACTATGTCGTAGTTCGGGTTGAATAAAAACATCAGTTGATTGAGGTCGAGTGTGAGCAGGTTTAACTGAACGCATTGCGTTTGTAAGCCTACTGATGTAAGAGTTTAGATCCATGTTCAATGAAGAAGCTGAAGGATCTACGAATTCTCCTGCGAGTCGGAGTGTCGTTCCGTAAACGAGTTGAGATGCCGTGTATCCAATGTCAGCTTTCACTGCATTGCGGATACCTAGCAAGACGAGTGGAAGAGCGTCTGTCCACTGTGAAACGTTCGAAGCTGATAATGAAGCTTTTAATTGTCGATGAAAACGTTCTACCAACCCGTTTGCTTGTGGGTGGTAGGCGGTCGTTCGGAAGCGCGTGATTCCTAAAAGTGTGGTCAGACAACGGAAAAGTCCAGATTCGAACTGGCGTCCGCGGTCTGTAGTGATGGTTGAAGGGCAGCCAAAATTTGCTACCCATCGTTCGACGAAAGCGCGGGCCACGGTTTCAGCAGTAATGTCCTTAATCGGTACTGCTTCTGGCCATCGAGTGAAACGGTCTACGCATGTTAGGAGATATGAGTATCCGTTCGAGTCGGGTAAGGGTCCTACCAAATCTAGATGGACGTGGTCGAAACGAGTGTCAGGGGTTTTGAAAGAACCTAAGGGACATTTGTTGTGTCTGATTACCTTAGATTTCTGACAGCTTACACAGGAGCGTGCCCACTCCCTCACGTCTTTATTCATGCCAGGCCAACAAAAGCGTTCGGCTATAAGTTCGATTGTTGCACGAGCACCTGGATGAGAAAGATTGTGCAACGTATTGAAGACGTTGCGGCGATAGTGTTTTGGTACAATTGGACGATCCCTACCTGTAGATGTGTCACAGAGTAAGGTTTCCTTACCTGTTCCCATCTGCCTAATACTTAGTTTAAGAGTTGTCGAGGATAACTCATGCTGAAGATCAATATCTTCTTTTTGAAGCTGAGCGAGTTTAAGAAGGTCGATTCCTTGGAAACTGTTCAAGGAATTTATTCGAGACAAGGCGTCTGCGACTACATTGTTAGCTCCAGAAATATGTTGTATGTCTGAAGTAAACTGCGAAATGTAGTCGAGTTGTCGAGACTCTCGCGGTGAGTACTTGTCTGAAGATGAATTTAAAGAGAAGGTAAGAGGTTTGTGATCGGTAAAAAGCGTGAATTCTCTTCCTTCGATGGAATGTTGAAAATGCCGTACAGCACAATACATAGCTAGGAGTTCCCTACCGAACGTGCTGTACCTAGATTCCGCGTCTAGCAACCGTCTCGGGAAAAATCCTAAAAGTTGCCACGAGTTGTTAACCCATTGTTGTAAGACTGCTCCGATTGCTGAGTCGGATGCGTCTACGGCGATACTAATGGGCGCTTGACTGTCCTGATGAGCAAGCAAGGTTGCTTTAGCGATGTGTTCCTTAACTGTGGAAAATGCTTTACGGGCTATGTCGTCTAAACTAATTGATTTCGCATTTCCACGAAGCTGATCGGTTAACGGTTTCATTAGGGATGCGCAGTTAGGTATGAACCGTCTATAGAAACTTACGAGTCCGTTGAAAGTTCGTAAGTGCTTGATCGTGGTCGGTTCTGGGTAATCCAGAATGGCCGCCACTTTGCTCCTAAGGGGTCGGATGCCTTGGGCATCAATGGTGTGTCCTAGGAAGTCTAAGGAGTTTGTTCCGATTTGGCATTTCTGTATGTTGACAGTAATGCCATGCCTTTGGAGTCGATCGAAAACAATGTCCAGATGCTTGAGATGCGATTCTCTGTCCGGACTTGCTATAAGACAGTCATCAACATACGCATGTACGAAGTTGAGACCTCGGAAGACGTCGTCTATAAACCTTTGGAAGGTTTGAGCCGCGTTTCTTAAACCAAAAGGCATTCGCAAGAATTCGTAAAGACCGAAGGGAGTGATGATGGCGGTTTTAGGAATGTCGTCAGTTGCCATCGGGATTTGGTTATAAGCTTTAATCAAGTCGATTTTCGAAAAGACAGTTGTACCTTTCAAGGTAGCTGTCAAATCGTGAATATGAGGCAGCGGGTAACGATCGGGAATGGTTTTAGCATTCAGACGCCGATAATCACCAGTTGGCCGCCAATCATTGCTGTCCTTTTTAGGGACCATGTGCAATGGGGATGCCCATGGACTATTCGATGGTCGAATTATCCCTAGATCCATCATGTGGTCGAATTCGTTTTTAGCTAACCTAAGCTTCTCGGGAGCGAGTCTTCGAGCTTTCGAAAATACAGGTGGTCCTGTAGTCGAGATGTGATGTGTAACATTGCTGGTTACACAAGGCAATTTCGATTGCGATTGGTATATTCCGGGGTATTTGTCGAGTACTGATTGGTACAAGGGGTCTATGGTGTGCTTAATCTTGACTGGGGATAACCTGCAACCAGAACAAGGAGTTACGCTAACAGATAACTTAGTGTTTCCGTCTATTAACTTTCGTGAGCGTGTGTCGATGAGTAGATTGTGGTGTTGTAACAGGTCTATACCAATGATTGGCGTAGAGACATCTGCAACCACGAAAATCCAGTGTATGGGTAGGCGTAAACCCACGTTAAGGTAGACGTACCTTTTACCGTAAGTAGCGATCGGCTTTCCGTTTGCCGCCTGTAAACTTAAAACAGACTAGCGAAGTCTGTCGTCGGGATTTGCTGGAAGAACGCTAACTTCTGCGCCAGTGTCGACGAGGTAGCGAACTTTCGTAGTCACATCCGTGACGTATAACAGACGGCTGTGTTCGCCGGCTACGGTTGCCGTTAACGCGTGCCGGCTGGGAAGTTTCCCGAAATCTTATTCGTGTCAGTCGATTTTGAAGTCGGATAATTGCAAGGTTTCCTGCAATTTCTGGAAAACTTACCGTACTGGTTATGATACCAGCACCAGTCGGGATTGTCTGTCTCTCGTGGTCGAGAGCCAGATCGCTTACGTGAGGCGCTTCAACGCGGGGTTTTTGACCGACTACGGTCATTGCGAACTCTAAGATATCGTGTAAGCGTGTGACATAGTTCGCCCATGTCAGTCGAGGTCGATTGGGTATTTTCCTTGACGGAAAAAACCTCGGCCTTAGAAGATCTAGTGATTTCCAAGATTCGATCGGCAGATGCAGCTAGTTCATCTATGGCATTGTTTTGAAATGAAACAAGCACTGCCTGCACCTGTTGAGGGAGTTTAGACAAGAAAAGTTGTCTAAATAGGCCATCATCGAAAGTTCGTTGGCCAATGACTTCTTTCATTCTAAGCAACATGTCTGTTGCAGAACCATGTTGCAAGTCGATATTGTTAAGGAATTGGTCTAACCGTTGTTGATCAGTTAGGTCTCCTCGTTTTAAAATCGATAGCTTAAGCGTTTCGTAAGGTTCGGGAACATCACTAGTAAACATACTAGGTGTTACGTACCTGTTAAACTCGCGCGGTAACGCCTTAACTACCGCGAGGAAACGTGTGCGCGAGTCCGTGATTCCGTGCATGCTAAAATCGGCTTCTGCGTAGCAGAACCAGGACTCGATATTGTCGGGCCAAAATGGCGTTAACTGAATCGAAATAGGGGGAATAGACTTAAACTTAAGAACCTTAGGAGAGTGTTCCGTCATAGTAATATAGATAACGAAAAATGTCTAAGTAAAAGATATACGAGAAAAAAACTGCGAAAAAAGTATATCACAATATATAAAATTCAAATAAAGAATAACAATGAATAATAATATTCCAAAATGGAACAGACTCACAGTATATTGACTTGGTGTACTAGATCACGTCGGGTTCACCAATGATGATGCAACGGATATTCTAGTTTTACAACTAGATACCAATAGCACCTTCTAAATTCGATTGTTCCCAGTCAGATAGAAATCAGAAGTCAGATGAGAAGAGGCAGGAAAGATATATTTGATTCGTTACCAATATATCGAGGACCTTTTCTATGAGCTGGCTAATGAAACGTAGGAGCTGTGTCCCACGCCGAGTCGAAACGTGATCTGGTCGATATTCAGTGACCCTACAACGTAATCTTAGTCACAATACTAATCTAAGGGATAGCACCCAGAAATTGGAGACTCAACATAGCAGAACGGACTGTATAAACAACTTCTATTCCTTAGGAGTTGTCGAATTCTGGAATTCGCTGGCGACTGAGTTAGTCCAAGTAACTTCCCAGGAGTCCTTTAAGAGGAAACTTGACCTATTATTAAGCACTAAAGATAATGTCTTATTATGACTTACCAATTTCTTTTTTTCCTATTATCGTTAATATTACCCAGGTTCCTTTCTGGAGGTATTGGTGATCCACTGATACTAGACACGGAGGCCCGTTAAGCAAAAGCTTCTTCTATTCCGTCCACAACTATTTGAACCATTTGGACCATACAAAGAGCTACTTGAAAAGCTAAACATCTTTGCTCTGTCCTACCCTAGATTAAGAGATCTGGTTTTTATGTATAGAATACTAAGAAATGATTTCGGATACAATGTATATCCCCTCGTTTTTTGCACTAGATCGGGACACCTCAGAGGACATACCAGGTGAGTAGAACAGCCAAGAACAAACAAAATACACATGGCATACAGGTTTTCACAACAAGTCATCAATTCTGGGAACCTGTTACCTGAAGCAGTGATGTCCGCAGCTTCAATTGAATCATTCAGGAGAAAATTAGAAACTCACGGAATAATAATAGAAAAGAAAAAACATAGGCCATGGGCCTTTTGTCCTTACAACACAAATCTGAAATCTGGTAGAGGGCGGTTTTATTTTCAAGGTCGTCGCGCGTAATCTTGATTCACGAGCCCAAGTTCTTTCGAAATTCTGAGCGGTTGACGGTTATTTTCAAGATGGATCTTACTCTGGACGATCTAGTTCAAGATTCCGAGAAGTTACTTATGGATGTACAAGAAGATAATGATCTGCCACATATCACTAGAAGCTTGGACCAACTGCGTCACTTAGGGGAAAAACTTTATTTGTCCAGAGGATCTAACAGTGATGTTAAAGCTGCTCGCCTTTTGGGGCCAAAAATGAGCTACGAGCTGCCTCAAAATCTGACTGCGAAGTTAGAAAATTTGGTTCCAGCCGATGTATACGACATGTGTCCCGTCGTACCCAAGACTGATATCCAGTCATTCTTGAGATCAGAGAGAGATAATGCATTACTAACCGCAGTCCTTATGACCCGAAAGTCGGTAGGTTATACTAATTGGCTTTCATTGCTATGATATATTGTTTTAGTTGCTTAGTGTGTGCCAGTACCAGATGATCAGTTGTGTTTTCAGACCACAGTTTGCTAGTTATAGATTCATAGCTCCCACAAACTGTTTGTGTTACAGCTTTCAATAAGGTGCTCTTTTGTAAACTTTCGTATATTCATAGTTTTCTGGTCAAGATCTGTGTAAATGGTTGGACTTACTCGTTCCCGAATATTAGTCACATTTTGATTTTCTGTCTAGCGGATAAGGTTCTTCCATTACATATTGGTAACAAACACCCTATTGTTACAGTTATCCTAGTTTCTACAGTTTTCCCGTAGTATAACAAGTGCAGGAGGTCAAAGTAAAGCATGAATCTTGTGAAATGTGTCCAAACGCATGCTAACCTATTAAGATCGTCCCATATCTTCACAGTTACAAATCTCAAGAACTGACATAGGTTACTAACCTCCGATCCTTATCTTTGAAGACTACCGTCTATATTTAGTTTAAATCAATGGGTAATGGCTCGTCAAAATCATGTCTAGGATTAAAAATACTCCATACGAATTTATTTTTTGTCAGTTCGATTAATAAGATGGGGAAAAACTGGATAATGGGATCTAACGTGACCATGAGTCCCCACCATAAAATCTCCGGAAACCATTATTACCTACGATATATGGTAAGATTCACATCTTTATTGTTGATCAAATCAAGAAACTATTATAAAAAGTACGGGAAATCTGCCATGAAGGTGTGAGTTGGGTAATAATACAGGCTGTATACCCCACTCTTACGTTCGAGATGTATCTGTAAATGTTAATTTGTAAACACCCAATGTTAGAGTGGTTCCTTGGGTTGGTTGTTATTTAACCAAGGGACCTCGTTTTTTTCTAACATCCCTTCACCGTCTTGTGAACTAAATCACTTGGTCAAAGGCTCGGTGAGTAGTCTGCTAAGGAAACCGATCGCTTCGGTTTGGGTACCCGGACAATATCCTAGCCTATATACAAACCAAGGGATGGTTACAACCATAAAAAATTATCCTAACACCCATTTGTTAATGTTCGTTTTATTTTACATTTCGTCACTCGTCTATTCCCTTTTATTCCCATTTTGTGTATTCTCTTGTTTTAAGCTCATACAGCAACTCGCACATGGTGAAGATTCTGTTCTGTCTCAACGACCGCAAGTCACTGACTAATAGGTCGAAAGTTGAATGCTACCAGACTTGCTGAAATCACGTGTGTCATTCAAACAGGTTTTCTTTAATGCTCGCACACAAATGCTGATCAAACAACAGATGCAGTTGGCTATGTCTTTAGGTAGACTTAACATCGTTGTTTATAGTGTATCCCGGACCTGTATTCAAGACTAGTGAAGTATCACCCGTTCACTCCATCTGCCGCCCCACGAATATTCAGGGTCGGATGAAAACCTCGTTCCTTTTTAAAGACAGTGGTGGCCTGGTTATGGAACTGACTGAGTTGTTTACAAATATCTAGTAATTACAAAATGTTTTTTGATCGCATCCAAACTATTGGCTTGTGTCGTACTTCTCAGATTGTTCAAAACCCTGGAAGGTTGACTTGCGAGGAGCAGGCTGGTTTTCGTTCTGTTTTTGGTTGTTTTGATCATATCTTCACCCTCCTCCAAATGTTAGAACACCGTCATACTTATCTCAGACCAACAATCGTAGTGTTTCTTGATATCAGGGCTGCCTTCGATCCGTTGTACAGGACCGTTCTCTGGGATTGTCTATTGAAGAAGGGTGTGCCTGAGAAGTTCATTAACATCTTAAAGGCCTTGTATACGAACACTTCAGGCAGAGTGAAGGCATACAACCACCTTTCTCCCTTGTTCCATTCGAGCAGTGGGGTCAGGCAGGGTTGCCCAATCTCACCATTCCTCTTCAACTTTGCCATCGACGACATCCTGGAAACAGCTCTGATGGATGTAAGTAGTGGCGGTGTGGATCTGCTGCCTGGAGAACGACTTCTCGACCTTGAGTATGCGGATGATATTGTCTTACTGTGCGATAATGCCCAAGGCATGCAATCCGCACTTAATCAGTTGGCAATCAGTGTCCGCAGGTACGGCATGTGCTTTGCACCCTTCAAGTGCAGGGTGCTCCCACAAGACTGGCAGGATTCTCATCCTGTACTCACCCTGGACGGTGAGCAGATTGAAGTAGTTGAGAAGTTCATATATCTAGGTAGCTACATAAGTGCTGGTGGTAGCGTGAGTGATGAGATTGATGCACGTATAAGGAAAGCCAGAGCGGCTTATGCCAATCTGGGCCATCTTTGGCGCATTCGTGATGTTAGTCTGGCTGTAAAAGGTCGGATTTACAACGCGTCGGTGAGAGCAGTTTTGCTCTATGCTTGTGAAACCTGGCCTCTCTCTGTGTTCGATCATCGTTGTCTCAGACGGATTGCTGACATCCAGTGGCAATACCATGTTAGTAATGCAGAGGTTCGGTATCGTGTGTTCGGGCGCAGAGACGATAATTCAATTGGTGTCACCATCTTGAAACACCGACTTCGGTGGCTTGGACATGTTTTACGAATGTCGTCCCAGAGAATTCCACGTCGTGCATTATTTGCCGACTCTGGGACTGGTTGTAAAAAACGGAGGTAGTCAGTGTATGACGTGGTGTCGTGGTATGAAAGAAATCTGCAAAGGGCTAGCTTCTGTTGGACCTTCACGATTTCCTGACTGGGGTCCGAGAGATGGTGCAACACAGTGGCTAGAGACGTTATCAGATATGGCTCAGAATAGAAGCCAGTGGCGATCCTGCTGCTACCTTTTTTTACTTTCTTCATAAATATTGGTTCTAACTTTCTTAACTGAGAGAGCTCTTCTGGTTGTACATTTCAGTTCCCCCCATCATTACTCTTCTCCTTTTCTTTTTTCCCTTTTATATATACACATCTTCCTTCTCCTCCCATTCTCATTATTTTGTGTGGCGCATATGTATCCGGTGCCCTTTGGACCAATATATATGTGATTAAATAAATAAGTAAATAATCATTATTATTAAACTCCTATTTAATTTTTAGACACCGTACCTTTTTTCTCTGTCTTATTACATAGTGTATATATATTTTGGTGCCCCTTCGTACCAATACTTCTATTCAAATAAAAAAATAAACTTTGTAATATTATGTATGAAGATTTTTTGCTTTTTTATGGCGTATGGGCAGTTTTAGAAACCATTTAATGGTTGTGCGTTGATGATACAACTCTTTATTTCAGATGTTTAAAGAAGTTGAAGAGCGCTGTGATGCTTATTTACAAACTTGGTGGGAACAAGAAGCTGCTGGAGTGTTAAGTGGTCTATCGGGTTCAAATGGGCCTCTGGATACAGAACTCACCTTCGTACCTGATTTAGAAAGTTATAGTCACTCCGAATCGGGGAGCGGAATGCAAACTATGCAGTTAACTCGGGATGAACTGCTTTACGCAAACAAAGTGGGTTTGTATAGAATTTTTATTCAAATTTTGTTGCTTTACTACCTTATTTCCATGTGTTTCTACATCTGACAGCTTTAAGTAGATTACGTAGGTATTGTTAGACGATCCTCAGAATTTCGATTCTAATTTTATTAATATTGAGCTTCTAAAGTGTATATGCAGTTCAGTACGAACCCATTATAAACCGGGTTCTTGATAACTAGATCCAATCTTTTGATATTGAAGCAGGGCTAACAAATTCTTTCAAACTAGGATTCACTCATTTTTGAAGCTAAACGCGTATCAAAGATCTACTAGTCAATAATGGAAAGGTAGATGTGCCCATTATAACCACTTTAGTCACTGACTTTCTAGTTCTGTCGCACCGATATCCTCAAAGTAATGGAATAATTATTACGGTTTGTTTTTTATAATTACTCGGTTATGTAGGTATTTTCTAATTATTTCATAACTTAGTGTTAGTTAAAATTGCTATTTTCGTTCATGGGATACCTTAGAAACAAATGAGGACTGAGATTTGTCCGAATTGTATCCAGTAAGGACGTATGCTGTAGTGTACCACATTTTTCACATATTTTAGAACCGTTTATTAGGAGAAAGCATGAGCGACTGCTAAGATTAGATGAAATTATATGCATTCGACTGTAGAACTCCTTGCTATTCCTACAGCTAAAAGTTGTTAGACCTCAGAACACTAGTAGCATTAACTGCGCCAGTCCACCTTATTGGTCAACCGTAACCAAGTAAATAATCACAGGTCTTATATGACTCTTAAGGATGCAGCATGTTAGCGGGACATAGATTGGATTATAGCATGTTTCATGCATGGTGGTGTTGCTGCCGCTGATTGGCTTATTCTAAACCAATCAGCCCTGGCAAATTATTGGAGAAAAATCTAGAAGCTTCTTTTGTATATACTATAAATATATGAACGTTATTCAAACCAGTGATTGCTGTTCACTTACCATTGTTATTTTTGAATACAATTTCGTTCCTGTTCAACGTGTTCTGATTTGGGGTCATGTCGAGTGTCATCGTATAAGAATACTAAGCAATAGGAGTAGCTGGGTTGTTTATTAGCAATACAATTATAACACAGCATGATCAAAGATATCAGCATTTTAGTTAGTGAGTCTTGTACGAATTGAACGTTAGCAGCGTAGTTTCAGAGATAAGAAATGCTATTCCAAAGGCTAAACTCTTTGGTAATTTTCGCAAAGTAAGGATTGTTTGAAGAAACTGCAAGCGGTATTGGTGATAGATAAACGATGTAAATAGGGGAGACATTAGTACTCAGGAAGGAGTGTTTATTTTTGAATCATATGAGTGAGCGTTACTCTCAATTTACCCGCATTTATATAACATGCAACGTTCCTATGAAATTTTGTCAGTTTATGTGTTATTGATTTATTTTCTACTACTTTTACATAAAATCTTTGGGTAATGATAAATATATTCGTATTTTTTCCATTACCTAACAGTTGGATTACTACCTTACAATGCGTCTCACATCTACCGATTTCACACCTATTCAAAATAGAGTTCCTCGTGACTTACTAACCTATATGTCACGAGCTCAAGATTCCGTTTCCCACGAAAAGCAGTTAAAAACGCAGCTTAAAAATTCTCATTCCGATATCATGGAGATGTGGACCTTCATGAGGACAATTTCTTATCATATGCATAATGAGCATGGTAGTATGTTATCATATAACCATCCACTGGAAGTTCGAGCGTCTATATCTGTACAAAATACTTTATCACTGTGTTCTTTACAACATTTAGAATCTGAGTTTCTAGAGTTTTTAAAAATAACGGTTGCCAACCAGCCTCGATTAGCTCGACTTGGTGGACGTCCAGGGACCCGATCATTAGTGCGTGCATATCTAAGTCTTCGTCTACCCTTTGACAACGTAGCAGATGTTTCATCTCTGAGCAACCTCTATCAATTGTCTGAACAAAACGGCTGGAAATTTGATGTATGTCAGTATTTCAATGCACTTTGTAGTTTATCTGTTTAATTGTTTAATGGTTTGTTGTCCATGACACATTAAAGTTAAATGTCATCTGACTCAATAAAAAAATTGGTTTGATTGTTGATTTAATTAAATAAGCCCATCATTTGACTTAATTGGCCTAATTTTGACGCAAAAGTCAAACTTCTAAGTTAATTGCCTTAGGACTCTCTCAAACATGAACCATTCAGAAGCTGGTTCTCACTTGGCAAACTTTAGATTAAACTAATAATGATCATTGAAAATTTGATCTAAAAGCTTATGTTAACGGGGTTTTTCTATGTTTAAGTGGTAGGTTCTCAGTTTAAACTTCGAGCAGATAAAGCTAATATTGACAAGCTAATAAGCACGTTCATCAACTAGCTCACAGTCTTCAAGTTATATCGATGAAATAATTTTTATAGTTCCTCTTCTTTCAGGATGGTCTTGTAGATGGTGTTCCTGTGTGGCCAATGATTTTTTACTGCCTTCGCACGGGAGATACTCAAGTTACTTTGGAAGTCGCACGTGATGCCTTGTAAGTTACTTATTACAGATTAATATGACCTGCATTACTTATTAGCATATTAATAAGAAACTTGAAGTGATTTAATGCTTTCGTTACATCAAAAAGTATATATATATATATATATATATATATATATATATATATATATATATATATGACTCAAATGGGATTCATGGTGTATTGGGTTACTCGCAAGTTACCAGGTCATAAGTCCTAGTTTCTTTAGAAAATGAAAACTAAGAAACTAAATGTGTTATGACGCCGTTTTTAATACTCATATTGGTAATCATAAAATATTTCTTTCTTCTCCATACTATTCTCAGAAACAACTTAGGAAACTTTGTAACGGTGCTAGAGGATTACGTAAATCATAGTCGTCGTCTCAGAACTCCCAACCAAGCAAGATTTCGTCAGACATGCAAACAAGTGATCAAGTCTACTCGTGATCCATATAAACGGTTAGTCATCTTTACCACAGTCAAATACTCTGTCTCCTTTGTTCTTTTAACACGTTGATTAACCACTTAACTTTCATTTTTTATTTTATTTTATTTAAACACATATATATTGGTACAAAAGGGCACCAGATACATATGCGCCACACAAAATAATGAAAGTAGGAAGAGAAGGGATGAAAAGATAAGGCGGACTGAAATGTACAACCAGAAGACTCTTTCAGTTAAGAAAGTTAGAACCAATCTTTATGCAGAAGGTAAAAGAAGGTTGCAGCAGGATCGCCACTGGCTTCTATTCTGAGCCATATCTGATAACGTCTCTAGCCACTGTGTTGCACCATCTCTCGGACCCCAGTCAGGAAATCGTGAAGGTCCAACAGAAGCTAGCCCTTTGCAGATTTCTTTCATACCACGACACCACGTCATACACTGACTACCTCCGTTTTTTACAACCAGTCCCAGAGTCGGCAAATAATGCACGACGTGGAATTCTCTGGGACGACATTCGTAAAACATGTCCAAGCCACCGAAGTCGGTGTTTCAAGATGGTGACACCAATTGAATTATCGTCTCTGCGCCCGAACACACGATACCGAACCTCTGCATTACTAACATGGTATTGCCACTGGATGTCAGCAATCCGTCTGAGACAACGATGATCGAACACAGAGAGAGGCCAGGTTTCACAAGCATAGAGCAAAACTGCTCTCACCGACGCGTTGTAAATCCGACCTTTTACAGCCAGACTAACATCACGAATGCGCCAAAGATGGCCCAGATTGGCATAAGCCGCTCTGGCTTTCCTTATACGTGCATCAATCTCATCACTCACGCTACCACCAGCACTTATGTAGCTACCTAGATATATGAACTTCTCAACTACTTCAATCTGCTCACCGTCCAGGGTGAGTACAGGATGAGAATCCTGCCAGTCTTGTGGGAGCACCCTGCACTTGAAGGGTGCAAAGCATATGCCGTACCTGCGGACACTGATTGCCAACTGATTAAGTGCGGATTGCATGCCTTGGGCATTATCGCACAGTAAGACAATATCATCCGCATACTCAAGGTCGAGAAGTCGTTCTCCAGGCAGCAGATCCACACCGCCACTACTTACATCCATCAGAGCTGTTTCCAGGATGTCGTCGATGGCAAAGTTGAAGAGGAATGGTGAGATTGGGCAACCCTGCCTGACCCCACTGCTCGAATGGAACAAGGGAGAAAGGTGGTTGTATGCCTTCACTCTGCCTGAAGTGTTCGTATATAAGGCCTTTAAGATGTTAATGAACTTCTCAGGCACACCCTTCTTCAATAGACAATCCCAGAGAACGGTCCTGTACAACGGATCGAAGGCAGCCCTGATATCAAGAAACACTACGATTGTTGGTCTGAGATAAGTATGACGGTGTTCTAACATTTGGAGGAGGGTGAAGATATGATCAAAACAACCAAAAACAGAACGAAAACCAGCCTGCTCCTCGCAAGTCAACCTTCCAGGGTTTTGAACAATCTGAGAAGTACGACACAAGCCAATAGTTTGGACGCAATCGGAATTAGATTTATCCCCCGATAGTTGTTACAGGAACAACGTGAACCCTTTTTAAAGATAGGGACGACTATTGACTCATTCCATGATGTTGGAACACTTTCTTGCAAACAACACCGTCAGTACCTTAGCGAGAAAGTCACCACCATCTTTACAAAGAGCCGGAGGTAAGTTATCTGGGCCCTGTGATTTGTAGCGCTTCAAGAGTTGGAGTTCCTTGCGGACTTCCGCCTCGTTTGGTGGATCAGTCGTCACCGGCCATGGGGGGTAGAACAAACTGGTTTATGTTGCCGGTGCAGCAGGCCAGTTAAACTGCCCTTCGAAAAATTCCGCCCATCGTCCAAGACGTCGAGAGATGTTAGTGATTGGCATCCCGTCATCCTCGTAGATTGTTTCACTCACACCAGACTTCTTGCTGCCAGTGGCTCGGATGAGTTGGAAGAGCTTCCGGCAGTTACCAGATGCAGCTGCTACTTCCATCTAATTAGCACGCTCCGACCACCAGGCTTCTCGGTCCTTACGCAAGCTTTGCCCGATTTCATTACATAACAGCCTTCGTTTGTGGTCAAACTCACAGTCACCCGGAGTAGACCGACGGGCTTCGATCAGTTTTAAGGAGCCAGAAGAAACCCAGTGCTTGTAAGCGGGACGTTTCGCGAAGCCGCAAGCGGCTTTACTCGCCATTTTCATGGCGTCGTGAAAATGCAACCAATGCTGATCTATACTTGTCGGTGGGAGGGTAGCTAGCCTAGAGGCTAGCTCCGCTCGGTACTTACTTGCAACAGAAGTTGCAGCCAGTTTACTAACATCGATCCGTTGGTGGTGGTCAATCCTTCGGCCACTGAAAAGTAAGATGAGATTGGCGCAGACCAGGGCATGATCAGACTCCAGATAGGTATTCCAAAAGGAGCGGCAGTCTTGTACACAACCACGCCAGCGGTAGCTGATCGCGATGTGATCAATCTGAGTCCAGGCTTGAGATGCAGAGGGAGGACGCCAGGTGGCACACCGGCGATGACTGTGCCGGAAGTTAGTGCTAGCCAGAAACAGGTTGTGGTCTGTGCACAGTTGCAGCAAACGATCCCCGTTATCTGTCCTGCGACCAACAAGTCCCCATCGGCCACCTAAACGACTCTCTTTTGTGCCTAGACGCCCGACCTGAGCATTCAAGTTTCCAGCTAATACTACAATATCTGTCGAACGCGCTTTCTGGAGAAGAACTGTTAACTGGTGGTAAAACTCATCCTTGATCGCATCCGGGCTGCAATCTGTCGGGGCATAGGCGGAAATGACGAAAAGACACCGTTTCTCACACCGGTTTCTTCTCACTTTGATGGAGCTTTCTAATCCAACAGCACATAACCGGTTGTTAATGGGGATCCAGTCGATTAGTGCTGCCTCAGCTCTAGCGCTTAGTGCAACACCAACGCCAGCAAGACCAGACGAAGATGCCACAGAGTCCCCGGATAAGCGCACGTGAAACAAGCTTTTCGAAGCGACAGATGGAGAGCGAATTTGTAGTACTTCACTAGAGTCTTGAATACGGGTCTCGGATAGACAGCAAACATCAACATTAAGACTTTCTAAAGACATAGCCAGCCCCATCTGTTGTCCGATCTGCATTAGTGTGCGAACGTTGAAGTAAGCCAGCTTGAACGGCGTACGTGGTATTAGAAAGACTGCTTCAGTATTCGTAATCGGTGGAAGCATTCACTTTCAACCAGACAGTGACTGGAGATCGTTTAGATAGGACAGATTTTCCACCATGGGCGAGCTACTGCATAAGTTGGAAAGGAACGATACACAATTTGGGAATAAAGGGAGTGAAAAAGCGACGTAGTAAATAATAGTAATAATAATAATAATAATGATAATGGTAATCATGATAATAGTGTATATTGTCTTGCTTCTAGTATGAGCGAGAATAGTATCGTCAATAGAATTTACCATTTCATTTATTTGTGTGTGGGCTGTGATACTGCCCGGGTGCCCAAACCGAAGCAGATGGTTTTCTTAGGGGGCCACACCCCGAGCCTTTGACCTAAAGGTCTGATCCACAAGGCAGTGGAGCATCGTGAGGAGATGCAGTCCCATGGTAGCCGGTGACCAACAGCAGGTTCATTCGCCATTCGTTCCATCAGGATACTGGAGCCCATGTGCACCATTGGTTTGGAATCAGGGTTTTCCAACTCCCCTAGGTGGACCCTCCGTGTCCACCAACCCGGTTAAAGCGCTTTTCGTCCTCTCACTTTCATAAACAACACCCCCGCCACGAGAAGGCAGTGAGTAGGACTTCCCTATCAGAGGCTGTATATTCGCTGGCCATGTGAGAGCATTTCGAGAGGGAGAGTGGACTCTCCCCACTCTCGGCCGTACCAGGGCATTTGGGGGCTTTCATCGTAAATAGACTTGCACATCAGCTAATATTGTTCGTTTAAATTAATCTTCCTTTGCATCTACCACAAAATCTTCCTTGGAAGATTTCCATTTTGTATGGAGTAAAGAAAAGTTGGATCGTGGCATTTAGTCTGATCACTGATTGAAGCGTTTCTCAAGTTCCTTTCTAAGTTAATAATGCTTCCATGTTTAATCGGGAAAATAACTGATTAATCTTATTTTCTATTATTACTGTAATATTTGCTCAATTTTTTAACGTCCATATAGTAATATATATTAGGTCATATTTCATGAGAAACAAATATTCGTTCAAGACAATATTGTATTCAACCATTTAAATTACAAAATTACTCATCACATCGAGAATCAACCATAGGCTCCGCTATCTAAGATAAAGTTAAGTAATTAATTAAGTTTTGGGCATATATATATATATATATATATATATATATATATATATATATATATATATTACATTGAAAGCAAACTGGGCCTATTAACTGAATTGTAATAACACCTAATTGTTTTGGCGTTAGATTTACTTTTAGATTATAATGACAACTTTCCTCGAACGTATATAGTGGGACAAACCAGTACTTAAGGAAGTTTGAATAAGTTATTCTAGAATGTAAGACAATCGTATTTTTATGTATTTTCGCTCCTGCAATCATATATGTTCAGTTGTTTGTTTTCACCACAAGTTTTATATTTCAGAATAACATATTCCATTCTTGGCCAATGTGACCTTACCGAAAATCATTCGGACATTATTTCAAATATAGATGACTTTTTATGGATAAAGATATCTCAAGTTATTGCTCAAGAGCCCTCAGAGTCGGTGGTTACATCAAAAATTAGTATGGATGATACTTTTACTTTAGGTCAATTGCAAACTCTACTATATGAAACCTATGGTATGAATAATTTTGTTAACTATTGTATTGTTATATTGTATATGATTGCTGCATTATAATAGATTAGGTTTCATTAATCCGAAGCTTGTTTGAGAAGTCACCCTATGACTTACGTTTAGTGTATAATGACTCCTTTCTTCATTGATACATATGCTTGCAGCAATTATTTGTCAACGCTTCTATCTGTCTAGCAAATTTCTAGAATATATGTACACATCACTTCTTTGTTTTTAGTGTTAAATAACTTTTTACCCGTCTGTTCCATCTTAAATCATAATAGTTAATCTGATCACAATTAGTTGTGGTACAATAAAGTTAAACTTTTTGTACAATGCCCTGTAACGAGTTCAGTGTTTTGTTTTATCTTAAACTTATGTTTTGATGTACATACTACAAATACATTTATCAAAGAGGCTTTCACTAATATTTTGAGATTCCCCTACTCTTTCAATCTGACCGATCAAATATTTTTGAGTTATCTCATAAGAAGCTAATATGGAAAAGTCCACATTTATAATAGCATGTCATTTAATTTGCAAGGCTTCCCATCTTGTATAGTGTGTAGCTGGAAGAATTAACTGTGGGTTGCTTGTGTAAGAAATAAACTTGTACTTTATTAGCTTTGAACTATCAGTTACAGTATTGTTTGCAAAAGTATTGAGTAAATGAAATTCAAGGCCTGAAGAATTTTCACTTGCTCTGTATCTTGAATAAACTAAGATTAGTCTAGTTCTCCTGCACTATATCACGTGTTGTTCTTCAGAGCTTTCATTCTATGAAAATCGTCTTCCAAAGTTCGTTTTTATAGTCTCAAATAGTTCCCATTAATTTTTTTTCTAGGTGAGGTGCATTTTGACGCATGGTCTCAACCACTGGTGTTTTTTAAAATTCTTTGTCTTACTCAACAGTATGAAGCTGCTATTGGATTTCTCGCTCGGTTTGAACAACTACGATGCCATGCTGTTCATATCGCTTTAGTTCTAAGAGACTTACATATGCTTTTACTTCCTAACTGGCTCCACTCGCCACTTGGTAAGTCGCATTAATTTCTTTGTTTATTTTTCTATCACAAACTATATACTATACTATCCTGATCGATTTAGTTTATTGTGATAATCGAGCCAATGTTGAATCAGGTCTCAAAGTATATTCTCCTAAAACCACTCACAGCTCTCAATCAAACCATGTTTGTTAAAACAAATAAAGTGGAAAGTGTGGCTTTCAAATGCATCTTAACATAAAGTCTTCATAAAGATAATTTCCCGAACTTTTCCCTATTGACAATGTGAATTAGTTTTTATTTGAATTTGCCATCTAATAGGCTTATACACTGATCTCTATAATGTGGGTTGTTAGTGTAGTATAATGATAGTAAACCGCCTAGTACGAATATAGTTTAAGTCAATTTTTCTACACCATAGTTAGTTTTTACGAGCTTTTAATTTGCTCTAAAATTAGTTTTTACAAACTGAATTGTTGATTAATGTGCCCTAACATTATTTCTACTTTAACTGTTTTTACTTATAAGGAAGGCATTATATCAAGAATTTTCATCTTTCAGCTCAATAAGCAATTAGTTTTCAATTTATACTTTTTTATTATACCCAGTGGTTCGTAATGATTACGATCCTACAGGGTTTCGCAGGCTTAATTTGGCTCGTTTAATTATGTTGTATACGCGGAAATTTGAATTCACCGATCCAGAAAAAGCCCTGATGTATTATTACATGCTTTCTGACATCCCAATTACTACTGAAAAATCACCTGAAGAGGATTCTGATGAAACCATTCCAATTGCTTTATACAATACGTCTCTTGAACATTCGACCGCTAAAAGTCAAAATTTGTTCGTCCAATGTGTTTGTGAATTGGCTTTAGCAAACAAGGAGGTAGGTTCTTTGGAACTATTTTTTGAAATAAGTCCTATCGCTAACATAACATACATAGTTTACAAGGATGTGTATCGTGCAATACTTCCTTACATAAACTCATAGTTGGATCACGATTCTTAACGTATCAAGGTCCATTTTAACAAATTGCTTCAGAGGGGGTTTTTGTGGAGAATTTAGTATTTTCACAGTTGAAATCATGAGTCAATTGAAGCTAGCTTCAGGTTAAAAGATACATGTTCTTTCCTCAGACTTATTCGCTAGCTTATCAGAGCAATGGCTTAGTAGTCTAAGCACTAGCACTCTAACCAAGTTTTACTCCGCTTCACATTGGTCTGAGCAGGCGGGTAATATTAAAATCCTTTTCACACCATCTGTAACTCACAGACGAGTTTATGAATGCATATCTAGCTATCAAGTTTCATTACTTAATTATCTGGCTATAATCTGTCTTGTCTAAACCATAAGTATCAGTATTTCTGACTGTCGATCTGTTTCTTCTATACGTGTAATGCAAAGTGGAAATATTCTGCTACATTTGCAATAATTAACGAATTTCTGTAGTCGGTTGCATGTTACACTTGTGTAATAAATCCATCTGCTTCATCTCACTTTTCTATTGCTAAAAATTATCTCAGGTCGTTAAATCATGACAACGTGTATTAAATCATATCCTCAATACTTGTTGCAAGTAGAAACCTCAAGTATGGTTCTCTGGATGTGAGGAAAAACATTTGTTCAATGGTCACAATTTGCTATCATACAGACATATGTTGTTACAATTTCTCACTTTCAAAATAACATTCAGTTATATAGAAGTTTGTTTCTTGAATAAAAATGTGTGTACTTTTTTATCAGTTATGCCTCATTGTTATTGTTTTTCTGTTCGCTGATGTAATGATTTTCCTCCACATCCATACGTTACAATCATTATAAAAATTATCTACAGTTGTTTTTAATCCTTAATTAAGCTTTTTATTACCAATTGGTATTACATGTAGTCCAGCACATCATTGTGTTCCAACAATTGTTCACTATGTTCTAAACTTTCTTATTTTGTTGTAAACTTATCATTCTTAGTGTCTTTGTCAGCTTTACATTCACAACGAACATCGTTATGTATTATTACTAATATTTTTCTTTTTTTAAAAGATAAATCGAATTTCTTGAAGGATACTCAAATTACACATACAGATTGTGACTTCATAAATCTAAAACGTAATTGGGAGGTATTCAACACTTTTTACACTGAAATAATGCACTGTTTCAGATTTTCAACTTCTATGAATAATCATGAATTCAGTCTATCTAAAACCATATTAGTTCGTACTGTAGTTTATAAACTACTAAATTGAATGCTTTTTGAAAGTTCACTTAACGATATTCACCTGTATTACATGGTCATAACCAGTTTACTTTCATTTTACTGTTTGCAGTTAGATTTACTATTGGGATGTGTTGGTGAAAACGATATTCGCAAAGTAAGTTACTATAATTTATCTATTTCAAAACCTGAGATCTTCATTGTGTTTTGTAGAACCTGTCACTCTTTGATTGCTAAGCTATTGAGACTAGATCACGTCGTAGATAACCTCTTTTTTGAAATATTCTATTGGACAGTGATAGTACTCTGGCCGTAGCAAGCTGTAATACTGTTGGGAAATGCAGTATGTCTTCAAAAAGAGACAAAGATCAGTTGGGAAAATTAAAGCTTCGAGTCGTCACCTTGAATTCGCGTAGCGCTCCGAAACTCACATTCTCATAATTGCCCACGTGTTCTTCGCCCAACCATCAGTCGTATTTACCATAAGACATGCTTTTTATTATCTCACCTATTGACGCCTGGGCCGAATAGTTAATGGGAATTTAGTGCGAATTTGGTTTCGACCTATTTCGTAACGCTTTTTTAAATTGTTTGGCCGAGCCATTACTTAACGGATATTTAAAGTACCATTTATCAGTTTACAGTGTTATATAACTGGAACAAACGTGTTTCCTGGCACGTCCAAGTATGTTTGTGTAACTTGAAAAGAAATTGTAATTTATATCATGGATGTATAATGCATATAAAAAGTAAAATCAGTACATTTAACTGTTCATCGGGGATGTTAAAGTATTCGACGTCAAAAGTTGTACGTTTGAAATACAATTGACCCAATAAATATAGGAGTGTAAAGATTGATGAGTATTTTTGTTTCATTTTTATTATAACACCTAATTCTGTATCATCTTTCAAAGATCTACGCGTCCCAATATACCTATTGGGTCTTGCAGTTGCCTGAGTAATCCGCCTAGATAATTTCAGATTTCACCTTACATAATGTGATTAACTAAAACGTATAACTTTCCAAAACTTCTTTCGAAGCCAGACACTAATATTGACTAAGAATCAGATAATGCTTCCAGGTTAAGTAGAAAAGCTAGTTTCTTATGAACTTTCTCCGCAGATCTAATTTTCCTCCACTATCAGCATTATCCTGGTCTTACAACGCTTATTTTATCTGCAGATCCCCCATTTTAAAGTGCCTTCTATTGGTTCCTTTCGATATCTTTGTTGATACTTGTTACTATCCTATGTAAGATTCGACGTTGTACTAGTATATTAGTTCAAGACGCAAAATACCCGACTTGCTGAATATCCACATCGTCCATGTTCTGAAAGCCTTTTTCTCCGTCTCCCATTATGTAGACTTCCAAACCATTTCCTAACATTTCGTCTAATTAATATGCCTTTCTTACCTCAACACATAATTACTTACAAGTATCGGTTTTTTTAGCCTGGTGCTATCGACCGCTTTTGCAGGTCTGCAGAATCCCGTCGAGAGTTGATTCGTACTGTTGCTGATGTTTTTGAGTCCACTGGTCAAGTAGTTGAAGCCATTCATTTATATTTACTAGCTTCTTCCTGTGGAGATCCTAAACCTGACATTTTAGTTTCTGTTACTTTAATAAATACTGTACTATCGAGTGTGATAGTAACATCAGATTTTGGAGCAACACCAATTACGCAATCCCGGTCCGGAGGACAATTGGATCGTAGTTCACTTCTGAGACTTGCGACAGAGGTAAGACAGAATTCCATCAAACATTATTTTCTGCATTTTTGTATGCTTACTCTCACCACCGTATTCCGTACATCTATTATGATAATTATTTTACTACGGTTTGTCCACTATCATGAACCTTAATGTTCATATTGCTTGAAGGTTTGGGGATGAAGAAATACATTAATTCTTCTTAATAATTATTATTGATTAGTATACGTTATCATCACAAACTCCTCTTTGGTGCACATCAAAACTTAATACTCAAGAGTAATTATCTGTTCATCTTCAACAGTTAGTGTTTTCGACATCGTATCGTATGGTATACCTAGTGCATGAACTCGATCTCGACGGGGGGAATATAGTCATTATTACAATCTGTCTAGGAAAAAAGTTAGCTTTACAGTTAAAGTTACAGGTTAAAAGAATACAAAATCAGTAAACAAAGTGTATGACTGTTTTCATAATGAAGCCTCATAAGAGCCGGGAAATATATTTCACTTATTTAACAAGTCTTAGTGAACACACCCAACACCGAATGCTCGAAAGTCATGCTTTCTGATCCAAAGTTAATAGTTTATATCATTCTAGATATCTGCACAGTGTTGAAGATACCAGATTGCTTAAAATATACATCTCTATGCTCATGTGAATAGTTTGTATAAAATATCAGTCAGTCAGTCAGCTACAACGTAGGACCAGGCACATATATGCATCGGTCCAAGTTGCCATACCTCTTTAGCACATCAAGATGAACACCGGATTCATAGAAGCAATTAATTTAGTGGTGGTAGTATATAAAGAAAGATTGTATAGAAGGATATAGTATAGGAAGAAAAAAAGTTATGAAGCAATTTTAATCTCAAGGTTTAAGGGAAGATAAAGAGTGTATACACCTACGCCATTGTGATCGATTCTGAGCCATGTCACCTAGAGTCTCCAACCATTTATTACGATAGTCACGCGGACCCCAACCAGGTAGTCTGCATCTGCCAACATGGCTCAGGCTAGAAGTTAGTGACTTCAAACACTGATGCCATGTTTTGGTTTGGCCGCCCCTAACTCTCTTCCAACCGTCCCCAATACTAGTCATCATAGCGCGTCGTGGTAATCGGTGTTCAGGCATACGTAACACATGGCCCAACCATCTCAGTCGATGAAGATTCATGACCTCATCAACTGATTTACCATCGTTACCTAATACCCTGCGTCTAACCTCACTATTACTTACTCGGTGATCCCAGCAGATGCGAGCAATATTTCTAAGGCATCTGTGGTCAAATACTAGTAACCTACGAGTATCTTCTACTCTTAATGGCCATGTTTCGCAGCCGTAAAGTAGAACAGAACGAACTGCTGCGCAGTATACTCGTCCCTTAATTGATAGACGGATATCTCGTCTTCGCCATAGGTGACGTAAGTTGGCAAAAGCCAAACGAGCTTTTTGAATCCGTGCTGAGATTTCGTCAGACACCAACCCATTAGGGCTGATCAGACTTCCAAGATAAGTGAAGTTGTCAACGCGTTCGACTACTTCACTCCCTATCCTTAGTTCGAGTGTTGACGCAGGCCAGTCCTGGAGTAACAATTTACATTTGGATGGGGAGAAACGCATCCCAAACATCCTGGCATTATTACTCAGTTCCAACAGAAGACTCTGCATTTTGTCAGCGTCTTCACCAAACAGGACTATGTCATCTGCGTATTCTAAGTCGCTTAGTGGTCCCCCTGGTAGGAGATCAATTCCTGTAAACTCAGTCGACGAGAGTGTCATTTGCAGCAACAGGTCTATAATGAAGTTAAACAAAAAGGGGGATAGTGGACAGCCTTGACGGACACCACTTGAGGTTGTAAAATCATATGACAGTTCGCCATAAGCTCTCACTCGACTGATAGTGTTCGAGTAAAGAGCCTTCACAAGGTTTATGTACTTCTCAGGTACACCTTTCAATGACAGACACTGCCACAGAACCTCTCGGTCTACAGAGTCAAATGCTGCTTTCAAGTCAAGAAAAACTATCATTGTCGGACGCCGATAAGCATGTCTGTGCTCTAAAACTTGACGAATGGTGAATATGTGGTCGATACAGCCACGACCAGGTCTGAAGCCAGCCTGATTTTCTCGTGTTTGCAGTTCACGAGTTTTAGTTAGGCGCCTGATAATTATTGAGGCTAGTATTTTAGATACTATGTTAGTCAGACTAATCCCTCTATGGTTATCGCAGGATGATTTTGACCCCTTTTTATATATTGGGACAATCAGTGATTGTGACCAGTCGGATGGGATTACATCCGTCTCCCAGATTTTAGCCAGAATATTAGTCAACCTAATCGCTAAAATTGGACCACCATATTTAAAGACCTCTGGAGCCAATCCATCAGGACCAGCTGCTCTTCCTCGTTTCAGATTACCTATAGCCTTTTGAACTTCAAGTAGGGTCGGGGGGCCTACTTCAATGTTCCATTCAGGTTTTCTAGGAATAGTGGGTAGTTGTGCAGTAGCTGAAGGCCAGCTAAACTGCTCCTTAAAGTGTTCCGCCCATCGTTCTAAACGTTTGGGTAGAGAGCAGATAAGGGTTCCATCTTTTTCCGAGATCGTCTCACTTACACTTGACTTCTTAATTCCAGTTTCTTTTATTAGTCTGAATAGTTGCCTGGTGTTGCCTACAGCCGCTGCCTTTTCCATCTCTTTTGCTTTCGTTGCCCACCACTGCTCACGATCGTTCCTTAGACTTTTAGTTAACCTAGATCTAATTTGTTTACGCTCTTCGTCATGTTCAGAGCCTGATGGTATGAGTTTACGCGAATCCATCAGTGAAATAGACTTAGAAGAAATCCACTGGTTTTTTGGAGCCCTATGGTTTAAATGACTAATAGATGTTACTGCTGTCTCCACAGCTGTTCGTATGCCTTTCCAAGCAGCATCTGGGTCAGTCTCGTTTACAGAACTGCCTAGATGTGAACTCAGTTGTCTCTGGAATTCACATTTGGCTTTCTCGTCCTCCAGTTCAATCCTAACGGGTCTTCTTAGTTTACTTTTCCTGCGTCCATTGAGGCGCAGACAAATGCGTGCTCGTATTAAAGCGTGATCAGAGTCTAAACAAGTATTCCAATACGAGCGACAATCTTCTATTGAGCCTCTCCAACGATGACTGATGACAATATGGTCTATTTGAGTCCATCGTTGGTTTGGTGCAGGTGGTCGCCATGTTAGACGATGTCTCTCCTTATGTTTAAAATTAGTGCTTGCCAAAAATAAACGATTGTCTGAGCATAGTTGCAACAGACGATCACCATTATCGGTTCGTTGAGCCGGAATACTAAAACACCCACCTAGATGTCTTTCTGTTTGATTTAAGCTGCCTACCTGGGCATTAAAGTCACCCGCTACGACTACTATGTCTGAGCGCTTAGCTTTCTGAAGAAGCTCAGAGAGCTTTCTGTAAAAGTCATCTTTCACCTCATCATGGCTGCAGTCAGTGGGAGCGTAGGCAGAAACGACGAAAAGGCAACGACGTGTGTCCCTATCCTTCCGAGTTCTTACGGAGCCATTTAGCCGGACAGCACACAGGCGACTGTTAACGGGGATCCATCCTAATAGTGCCTGTTCTGCCCTTGTACTTAGTGCTATACCTACACCTGCAAGTCCACGAGAACTAGCCAACGGGTCGCCAGATACACGGAGGGTGTATTTCGTTGGCTGTCCATTTTGGCGAGGTGAGGTCAAGTGAATGACCACACTAGGATCCTGTATGCGTGTTTCGGAGACACAGCATACATCAATGGTACGCGACTCTAAGGTTTTAGCTAAGGAGGCCTGTTGACCGATTTGACTTAAAGTACGTACGTTGAAGGCTCCAATGTGTAGTTTGGAGCGAGGTTTTACTAGACCTGGGACAGCGTTTCGCGCACTAGAATCGTTGGCCATGGTGACACTTGAGGAGGAAACCGAGAGAGGAAGTTTAGTGTTGAAAGTCAAGGTAGTAGGAATTGAAGAAGGAGATTGATTATGAATACAGTGGTCTTGAGGGCAGTTATCACTTCCCGGTTGCCCACACCGTGGAAGGATTCTTCTAGAGGTACCTGAAAAGGGAATTGGGTTAGAAGTGGTCTTAATGACCGGAGAGCGTGACCGCAGTGCCCAAGGGACAACTGCTTGAGGTCGGTCACACACGACCTTTTTGTGGGTAGTTTTTGTGTTAGCTCCGTTCTTCAAAAAAAAAACCTTACCGCCGGAGACGGATATCCGTGGGATAAGGCGAGGTGTGTATTTTTAGGGTCGACCTTTTCTAACCCCACCCCTCCTTGTGGGAAGGCAGCATCGCTGTCATGCTGGTTGTCTGAAGGAAACACCTTACTGCTGTCACACCTCTGTACAGTTAGCAGTACAACTTCGGACCTTGGGTTTGCTGCTTTTAGTCTCACCGCTCTTCAATCGACCTGTCTGGCATGGTAGGACCTCGAGGAACGATTGTTCCAGCCAGCATAGCTCGATTGGATCATCACGATAGGCAAGCCCGACCACCACGTCAAGGTAGCAGCAACGGTCGGGTTGTATAAAATATGGAAATGTATAACCTAAAGGTGATAGGGAGGAAAAATTTTCGATTCGATATTCAAGCTGAATTAAGTGTATCAATTCCTATTTACGATCTAAACAGTACAAAATAAAACTATCTAATCCTTTCAACTTTCTTCTTGCTAAACAGATTGCTCACAAAGTCCGCCGATTAGGCTTATCATCAGATGATAGTGATTATCCTGTCCAAAATGACGTAGAATCAAGTGCGACTGGATCTACCTCGGCTATAAAAATATTATTTTATCTCCTCGATTTGGCCTCGTTCTTCGACTTAGTTGATGCAGAAAGATGGCAAGCTGCTATTGACCATATAGATCAGTTGGGTTTATTCCCAATTAATTCGCAAGCTTCCAATGTAGAATTTTGTGCGACGCTATTCTCACAACTCCCAGATCTTGTACGCCGTCCTCTCCCGTGGGCATTATATGCTTTAATGCGTTGCTTATCAGCGAAGTGTGGTCGGGTTACATCTGTCACAAGGTCAGTCCCATAATAAATCACATAGATGTTGAAACTACTTTTTATTTGCTCGATAATGATTAATGTTTGTACCCACCTGGCTTATTGAAACATTTTTAGCAATGGAACACGAATGGATAGCACTTCAAAAATGGCTACTTCTGAAATCCGTGCCAGAGCGAAGGCTTTGATAGCATATGTTGGTCGTATTCCGCACAGACTACCAAGTGAAATTTATGCCGGACTTACTAAGATGGATATGGAGATAATATAATTTGCTACTGAAATCCTAATGCTTTCGAACAATCAACTATTAGTATTATGTACATTGCCTGTACTTTGTGTATGCCTTTTTTACAATAAATTAATGAATAATGTTACTATCGTTTATTGTAGACTGTCTCCACTATTTTGTAATTAATCTTTGTGTGACTTCACTACCGAATACACTTTTTGAACGATCACAATGCAAACTTTCAGCATAACCGAAATTGTATTATTATATCGGGAACCGAAAAAAATTTACAAAACATAGATTCTCATTACAATTTTATTACAAATCAATAGTGCAAATCTCATATTAACACCTATGTATCACACCTGCCGTTGCATTTCTCGTTAAATACATGCAAAAGTTATAAAACAGGAAAATTACATACTTGATGAGATTACTGAGTAATAAAAGCATACGGACATAGACTTGGGGACAAATAACATTGCAAAGGAATCAGTCTGTAAGTTTATTTACAAAAGACAAATGAAAATTAATAATTCCCATATTTAAACAGCAAAGTAATTGTCGAGTATCCGACATAACCACTTTCATGTAGGGCAGGACGATAACATATGCGGTGATAACACCTGTTTTAAACTTCACCGCTATGGCAGGGAAATTAAATATAAACAACGAATAGATAGAAAATCCACAGTAGCAACTTGAACAAAGAAACCCTCTGAAAATATACAGTTACAGATATTATTGACGGAAGCAATACTTTTGTTTGAGCTGTTAGCGGCGCGTTGGAATAACTGCAGTAGTATTAATCGGGGTAGCAGATTGCGAAAAAGCATTGTCTACATAATTTGTATGGTGAGACACAGTGCTGAGATTTTGAGGGTGTGTTACAGGTCGAGAACGCGTACTACAGTTGACAGATGGCTTAAGAATAGCAGGGTCTGGTTTTATATGAGTTGTTTGTTCCGGACGAGAAATACCCGTTGCAGGTATAAGCTGAACTCGGCGACGATAGAATGCTCCCTTAGACTCCATGTATCGCCTAACATAAGTAGTAACTCTTGATCGCACAGTCGAAGGCAGTTCCGGAGTAAGAACAGTTGAAAATAAAGAAGTGTTCGCTGCCTGGGTTTGATGAAACTTCTGTATTTCTTTTAGGATTACGGCCTGAGCAAGCTGGAAAAATGGGAATGACTTAGTAAGTTCAGCAGTAATTTCATAATGTTAAAATATACTAAGGTCACTAGTTTGGTTTATTTCAATACAAGACTCTACACGTTTATTCTAACTATGGATAATCTAAAAAAGTAGTTCCTTAACGATTGACCATTTAAAAGAACTTGAATGAAACTAAATTCTTGTAGAGAGCAATAGTATACAGCAAAAGTGAATAAACTACCTTTTTTGTTAAGTAGTATAAATCTTCATCGTTAACAATACGACCAAGTTTACAACGAGCATCACGAAAGCCACGTAACGTATTGTGAACCAAAGTGAATAACTGAAATAAAAATATTGTAGTTTTCATCTAGCCAGTTGCAACATCTTTAATGTATTTTTAAAAAGCCGATTATACTAGTTATCGAAATAAGTCGCCCGATTCTATATGTGGAATGTAAACAGATTTTTTAGCCGATAGTTACGAGAATCCTCATAAAGTTTATGAAATGTAAATGCAGTTTAAGCACAAGTTCGCACGACAAGCTGTAGTCCATAGTAATCTAGGTGTTTGGATAAAGCTATCATATATATTCAACGGTTCTTGAATCTAGGTTGTAATGATGAGGCTATTTTACACATGTACACTACATCAGTGGATTCTTTTTATACATGTAATACGGTCTTCATAGCCTGACCTTCCCTAAAATGTTACTCCAAATGGATGAAACACTTTATTTTAATTACTCGTACTTCTCTGATTAAACATTCGGAGTGTTTAATTCACAAGAAAAGCAACACATGAAAAAATAAAAGGACTGACTTCCATGGCAAAGCCTTGTTCAGTTACATCCTGAGGAGCATCTGGTCTGCCTGCCAATTCATGCAGAAGATCAATGCACTGACGTTCCAATATTCGTTGACGCACGCGGTTATACATCTGTAACATAAGTTCAGTTTGGAAATTATTGGTTTTTGTACAGCAGAACATATAGTTTTAAAGAATTCTACTTGTGGATAAGAATGAATTTGAGAATTATACACAGACATTTTAACATAGAACAAACTTCAGTTTATCGTTTCACTTTTCAACACCATTGAAATAAGGACAAGAGGAAAAAGAATTCGGATGTAAATTAAGAACAATTCAGGTTTAGGTCATGAGACATTAGAAGCAACATTCGAAGTCATACGATTTTGAAGGTGCTCCAGGGCGAGAAAATGAACTTGTTTACCGAGTTGTAGTTGGAGAATGGTGAATAAAGTACGACAGACTTAATTCAATGCTATGAACTACATTGAATAGTATTTGCAGAATGAATAAAACCGTACACAGTAACACAATAAACATAATAGCAGGACTTACAGCTTCAATTTCTTCGTGTGTAACGGCGAATCGCGACGCACATCCCCAATTATAGGGGGCTTCTGGGTCATCCTCTCCAGTTTCCCCAAGAAGGGTATCCGTAGGATCGGCGTCCCATGGGTAAACAGGTGGATCCCATCTAGTTTGACGAGTTCGGACATGGTAATAATAATAAGCATATGTGCCAGAACTATCCCCTGAATCTTGCCCTTCTGTCGAACGCTTAGTATTTGGTGCTCTTTGCCACCCTGGAGGCAGGGGACTTGTGCCATCTTTTGACAAGTGCAGATGCAAAGCAGGTAGTGGTTGTCTTTCGGTTGGTTGTGCTCGCCGACGTTGCCTTAACTGTGCGCAACGCTCCTGGAGTTATCCAAAAAACAGAATGCCTTCGAACATAATATGTAGTAAAAACTTAAAATAAAACTTGGGGTAGCTAATAAATATTCTACTCAATAGTGTAATATTTATTTTGCTGGCTATATACAGAATATTTTGATGCAGTAATACACACGATTTGAAAAATTCTTTAAGATTTACTGGAAACTTTTGTAAAGCATTTTCTATGAAAAAATATTTTCCAGAAACTTAGCACGGTTTATACAATTGATTACTTTCTTATGATGCTTGCCTTAAATACGGCAAGTGCAGAACATCCCCCTAATCATCTCTTTACCCCGTGTCTTGAAATTTTATTTATTTATTTAGACACATAAATATTGGTACAAGGAAGCACCAGATAAATATGCGCCTCACAAATCTCACTTGATTTGTGTGAGGGCTGTGATACTGCCCAGGTGCCCAGACTGAAGCAGGCGTGTCTTGAAAACAAATTAACTGACTAAACAAAACATCAGTAATCCGAACATATGGTTAGGATGTTTTAGTGTTGGAATGTTTTCATGTAACAGCGCTTTTATGATGGTCTAAATTACCTCACTTAGCAAGAAACATGTCACAATAAGCGCAATAAAAATAACGATAGGTTACATTTCATCAAAAGATTGTCTAGGAGTTCCTCTAGGCTTTACCTTTAGTTGACCATAATTATACGTAGTTTGTCTTGAACCACTGAAGGAATTTCAGGTAAAGCCAACGCTAGAATGTTTTTAAAGAAATCGGTAGCAAACAGATTGGGAATCCTCTAGGTTATTGCTCGTAGTGCTCAGATAAACTTGTGTTGCCACAAAAGTCATGCCAATTTTGATTATATTCGAATTCAAAACTCATGACCATTGAAAACTAAGGTATTATACGAAGTTTAAATAAAAACAATAGCTTCTAGAAATCACCTACCTTCGTAGCCTTACTCAATTCCATTCCGGCAGAAACAGCACTCAGCGATGATGTAGCAGCCGAAGATGTGCGTCTTTTTTAAGGCAAACAAAAGAAGTACTGAATATCAAGAACAACCAGATAAAAAAGGAAAGCTTCGGTTGAATACCTAATAGTAGATTTAAGCATTTACACAATAGCATTTCTGAATATCTTCATGAAAATTCAGATACATAAAAGAATTATATAAAGACCGTCAGTGAACATCCAAAAAATACGCTTCAGCCTTTGAGAAAAAATTCGTCAAGAATCTCAATGTATTTACGAGAAGAACAAGTTTGTTTGACAGTTGAACTTATTGGTAAAACCAAAACTAATTTTGATTAAGGTAATCAGTTAGTCATTTGGTAGGGAAATATCTACTTCATTGATAACATGACATTACTTAGATGTCTCAGGATTTAACATAAATCATGACTCATCAGTAAGCCACTTGTAATTTTATGAAAGCACCTCATTAACAGTACGTAATCTAAAAACATGGTAATTCCAACAAATTTACTCCAAAATATACAAGTTTTAAGATATAGACGGACGGACAAATCTACTCTAGCATAATGCTAGTATTAGATAATACTAGTGGCTACACAAATTTCATGGTAGTGGATAAAATTTATCAACCTAGGTTTCAAAAGTACTATTGTTAAAATGTGCATTACTTGATAGACAATGTTGATAAGTCTTGATGTATAATAAAAACATATTTATGTGGTCTCAGACTTTTATTAGGTTAGAAATCATCACATTTTCAGTAAACAACTTGGTTTGAAGATGTTGTAAACGAACTACACATTAGAAACTATAAAATAACTCAACTAATTTAAACCAGTAGTTTAACACAACAACATTATAAGTTTGGTGAATTTCATTAGTACTCTGAGTCAGCTAGCTTTTGGACACTATTTAAGACAAAACTCGATGGGAAAAAGAGTCAACATTTTTGGTGAAGGAAATTCTGCTTATAATTTTTATAATATAAGGAATTACATATATAATTGAAATCATCTAAGCCATATAAATCACCACGCACGACGATTAAAGTTACTACTTTGTGATAAAACAATCTTGTGGTATTTTATTTTCCAAAAAGCATTTTTCCCAGAGTATGTGGTCGTGAAATTCATTGTTCGTTAAGAAAGCTCATTTATTTATTGGAGTATTAAGTTGGTAGTTTATCAGCCTTGGAAATAAAAAAATAAATTAGTGATATACCTTTGTGCAAGATTGGAATCTAGCTGGTTGAAGATATGAGACGAAGAGAGAGGTCCAGCAAGAGCACATGATATCGTGCTACCGGGGTCTACTATTTTGGGCGAAGAAATCGGAGTTCTGCTGAACCTAGATATAAGGTCGATGGGCTCACATTCAGAGTCGTCTATGAGTAGGTCTACTCCGGGTATATAAATACCAGAGCTATCAACAGCTTCCTGAATAAGACAACTGTCTCTGTTAACATCACGGGAACGTTGTGCAGCGGAACCAATAAAAATGCTATTCCGTTTTGAAACTGGAAATAACAAAAAGTAGTGAACACACTTTAGTTGTTGTTTCAATTTTTAAGTAACATTACATTGACTGAAATACCTGAACTTTGAGCAGTATACAAGAACTCAAGAAAATTGAAACCCTAAAAAATGACATAAACTATTCATTGGTGCAAAATTACTAGCTTGGAGTGACGTCCCAAATCGTAAATCTACATCTCAGAAACTGAACTATTACTGAAATCACGTCAATTTCCATAGTTTCTCTTTACCGTTAATACGTTATATAGAGCAGGTTATTTATTAATTTATTCCGACACGCGAATTCATTACCTAAAGTTCTTTCTCTAATAATTATTGATTAAGGCTATATACTGAGGATCAAACCAGCAACTGTACAAAATTAATTAAACAATGGAAGTCATCTTAAATGAAAGAATCTAGGGATTGACTATTAATGGTTACCACATGTAATTAATAAATACTTCAGCTCAGTTACACTGAGCTTAATGTAATATTTAGATTTAAGACCAACTGCACCTTATTTAGCCTAAACAGTCGAGTCACATTTATTTTGGAAGATATGGTGACTTCAAACTGATATGACGGGATGAAAAGTCAAAATTAGATTGATTTACTCATTATGATTTTTGTTGAACACCAATTCCGTTTTAATCCAATATGATGATTACTCAGTATAGTATTTTTGTTTTCCCGTATGGCATTTTATTCTGTATAATATACGATATTCTTGTACTGAGTTAACATGAACTATACTCAGTATATGATCTGTTATAACTGTGAGTATTTTTCATATATGTGATTTTATTCTAATTATTAATCAAAATGGGTGTACAAATCAATATATAAATGATAGTATCTCCGACTAGGGTCGTCGTTGCTTGTGTTTCTGGCTGTTTGTGGAATATATATTACCTCTTTAGGACTTGGACTTTTCTCTCAAGTTAGTGGGGCTGGGACGCATCGAAATAACTAGCTTATCGGTTATCGTGCCACAGTGTTCGTCCTGTTCTCAGATAAGATGAACTCGTAATCGCTTCAAACATAGCAAAAACCGAATACGATATAAGGGTTTGACATAGCTATATATTGAACAGGAACATATATATATATATATATATATATATATATATATATATATGCTTTACTGCTGTTACACAGATGCATCAAAAATGACTTTTGATGACTTAGTTCCACACCCTTGAGAGAATTGTGAGTATCAGTTACTTTTTAAAAACTACTTAACTAAGTGAAACCAGAGGTAGTTTAAGTACGTTTTGAACCACGATATAAGCCTCAGGGATAACACGGTAAAATCAAGGAGTATTTTCGCCGCAGGAAATATAAAAATTGGTAATCCTTTTGGGAACTTTTTTATTGGTTATCTAAATAGTGATGATAACACTATTCCATACATAATAATTACAGACTTATGGTTAATTGGAGAATTTGCTTATCTTTATATTACGAGATTTCATTATAAGACATGAAGTGGCAAACAACAGGTGTAAAAACCAGTTTATCATTGACACTGAAATCGACATAGCTAAATATATGCCAGGTATGTATTCTAACGATAGATCAATAGCTAAATCCGAAATAAGGAAGCAGACATCGTCAATACCCCAATAAAAGTCACAAGCAACGTAGAACTTGTCCCATATGTGCATTGATTTGAGTTGACACGCCATACTGATGCACCGAGATGTAATTATCAAAACAAACTTCAGAGTACTAGAAATAATATCAGTATCAGTGGTAGAATACCACGCAATAAAAGATACACGATGATTTTAGAAGACACGTCAAAGGAAAACAAAGAGTGCGCTTGCTAATTTTAAACTGATTCTGACCAATGTCACTCGTCGTTAATCATTAGTTACGAGCATCACGCAAACATCAACCAGATATTCCTTATTCATCTACACGGCTCACTCCAACAGATAAAGGTTGCACAGACTTACCCCACGTCTTACTTTGTACACTCATAATTTCCTTCCGACCTACTATTGCACCAGAAAACATCTTTAGTCACCACGTACATATTTGAAACTTATTTTCGAGTGTGGATATTATTTCAAATATCCGAGTCTAGCGAATAACGACACCTAATAATCAATAAATATTTATATGATCGGTTTCCAGCCATATTTTAAATGTCTGACCAATATACAGTAGTTTGGATATTTGTGAGGATTCGATAACTCCAAGCGCTTTTGACTGCCAAGTTAAGGTTGAAATCAAAGGCTGGGAGAGATGTTGAAAACATATTAAATGAAGATGAGCAGAATAACAAAGTAAATGATGTCTTTGATATGAACAAGCTTACTTGAAACTACAGAGTTGCCATAAGAAGACTCTGGGGAAACAGCTGAAGAAGGAGCGCGAGATTTACTGAGAGGGGAAAAAAACGGAATAAGATTCTCGTCCTTTTCTAACTTTTTAGCTTGTTCTATTTCGGCCATCGACAATGAATGAGCTTCATAATAAACAGGAGATCTACGTTCAGACCGGTATTTATTCTCTTTTAGTTTTAGTGCACCATCTGGAAGTTCATTTATTACACCGAGTGCATATGTTAAATTGTGAGCCAAAGGTAAAGAATGGCTTTCTGATCTTCGTGCTGCTATTCTGATTTCCGACGATAAGTCGAAACCACGAGAACCTAGACTGTCACAGTGATTATTCGATGTCGAGGGCTCATGAGACTGTTCTTCACATTCATCTTGCCCAACAGGACAGCAATTGCGCTTCGCAGAAGAGTTTGAAATTAAACAGCTTGATTCAGAAGGACGTTTAACTGAATGTGAAGTCCTACAATTATCTCCAAATATTTGTTTGTTTCCAACTTGTGGCATAATTGAAAATATAAAACACTTCGAGAGATCTTCACTTACAGACTCTCCATGACTTTTGAAGTCAATATTTTTAGTTGAACAAGCATCACCGCAATTGTTATTCAGGTCGCGGGAAATTTGTGGACACAGCGGAGGTTGAGTAGATAATTGTGACTGACCACTTGGTATAACTTGAGACCGAGGTGTACTGTCAATGTTTACATATTCTGTCACACAACTAGCAATACCTTCATCATCTACAGTGCCTTTTCTGTCTCTATCATGTCTGCTCGACATCCGTTCGCAGTGTAGCAAACTAGGTTCAAACGACCCGGGAAACCAGTCAGACACCTTTTCACACTTCTTGATTCTGTAAGGAAAATTAGAGTTGCAATTTTCAAAACTTAATGATATGTTGTTTTCAAAATATTTGTTCATTTGCATATGGCGGTTTTGTTTGTAACTTTTGGCGCTTAGTATCTTCCGTGATGTTTGCCGCCACAACACCTGGCTCAATAATGGCAGCCGAGTCGTCATCTCACCAACTAGTAGGGTACGTAACTAAGATGTACCCTACGTTCGGATATATTAATAATGAGATTTTTTTTCAGAGAAAGTAGGTTTCTGTTCACTTGCTTTTTATTATGACGTTAGGTGTGTAATTGGTCCTATGGTTGAGGTAGGAGATAATGTTGCTGCAAGCGCGGTGTATCAACCTCATATGCCTATAAAGTGGAGTGCCGAAAAGGTTTGGCGAGTTGAAGAACGTCGTGGCAAATCTAGAGATAAAGGAGAAGAAAGCAGCTATTGGAAGAGCCAGTCCCCGCGTAAACACTCTCCACGTGATAGCTATACTAAACAAACATCGCGTGAACGAGATGTCCATCCATCTAGCAGCGATCAGCGACGAGTAGATAAAAAACGTTCCCATATTCTAAACAGGTAATGTGCTATTGATTTTTATTTTCGGTGCTAGGGAAGACCACTCGATCAAAAAATCTCCCAATCGTGATCGACGAAGAACTCCTGTGGATTCTGTAACAGCGCGGCACTCCTCTCCCACGACTGATTTGTATTGTAGGACTCCGATCAACCCCAAACGTATGCTGAATGTGAAAGAGTATTTGTTCTCAGACCTACAAAGACGATTTCCTAATGTTCTCCCGCCAGTTGACTTGTATCGTGTTAGATGCAATTGGCAAGAATCATTCCCATTACTGCGACCATTTCAGCCTCAATACCTCACAACTTTCCAGGTAGACTTCTCGGCTGTTTTTTATCGATAAGCTTAATTATCTACCAAATGAGTAATTATTCTTAACTATAGATAGACGATTGTCACACTATGTTACCTAAAACAAATTATATTGTTAGATTGCAAATGCCTAGTGACATATACTAGCAATAGGCTGGTCTCACGGTTTCTGTCCTGTGAGACGTAGAGTAGTACTGTCCGACGTAAAGAAATAGCACTTTTCGGTAGTCTGATATAGTGCAAAACGGCTATTGCCTCAAGTGAATGTTTCATCACAATAATAACTACGAGATTTCACTACTTTCTAAGACTAGCCATCCCATTCAAGTTTATAGTATCACACCTAATTTGATGCGAGACTTATTAGCTGGTTAACTCCGTCGGTTTTTGGATTGTAGTTTTGCCTCTAGGCTTGTTGAGGTTACGAGTTTAAGCACAATCTTGTCATGCTTGTCTCCACTGGTCGTCCCAGTGGACATAAAGGCTGCGTCTAACCCCAATGTCTGCTCTAAAATAGCAATTGGTGAAGCTTCTCCCTGTAAGTCAGAGGTTATGGTAAACATTTTTTCATATTTGTTGGGTAACACAGCATTAATCAGTGTCTTGTCTCAAAATCTACGTATTTCACAGATACGCTCCTAGGATTATTATCCTAGTTCTTAGCAGCTGATTTTCTCAGTTCATTTACTCGTTCATTTTAACTCCACAAATTACTTTTGTTCCCCAAGGATGTTCGCAAACTGCGAAACTGTCTGATCATTTTAAACGTGTTTCTCTCACAGGTATTAATTGTCACCTTTGGAATGATCCAACAGTGGTAGGTAGACCGATCAGGCGCATCGACCTAGCCAGCTTTCATCTGTCTAAAATAACTTGACATCAATATTTAGGTTCGTCTAACATTCCTTTGTCTACCAGTGTTATTTATTTGGACACGAAAGCATTAGTACAAAGAGGCACTTAATATCTGTGCGTCACAAAAAAATTGAGGTTGTGACCACATAGAGAAATTAAAGTATGGTAAGAAAGAACAATAAATAGAAATTAGTGTATGAGTTAATAATGACAGCAAAAGAAGTAAAACTAGACAAAGATGTCACAATGTCCCTGTGTAAACGCACGCGGAATAAAATTTCAGAAGCGAAAGATGTAGTGAATGCGTAATACTATAGTCCTGATAATGGGTCGCATATACCCAACAGACAGGTCTAATTCATCAGGCAGTAGCTCAACATTGAATGATGCAGTCCCATGGTAGTCCGTGACCAACAATAAGCTGATAGGTGATTTGTTCTCTCAGAAAACTGGAGCCCATGTGCACCATCGGTTTAGAATAAGGGTCGTTCAACTTCCCTTGGTAGATCCTCCGTATCCGTTAACCAGGTTGAAACGCCGGTCATTCTCTTTTCGTCCTGTCAGTTTCGTAGAAAACACCACCACATGAAGGCAGTAAGTAGGATTTCCCTGGTAGTGGCTCTATACGTGTAACTGTATGAACATTTCGTGAGGGTAAGTGGACCACCCCTACCCTCGACCGTACCATAGCATTTAGGGGCATTGGTAACGTGGACAATTGAAGATAATGTAAATACAAACACTTTCAATTTGTTTCGAACTTATTCATTGACAAAAGCCTTCGTTTTTTATTATGTAGATAATTAAAGAACCGGAAGACTCTTGTGACGATATGCATCAGTCTTACAACAACGATAGTGGTTTTGCTGCGTATGTCTTACTTTTGTCGCTCCCGGCAATGGCAGAACTAATGGAGAAGATAGTTGTTCGAGCAGAGTCTCCTAGTCGTGTGCGTGGTTCACTACGTAAGTACATCAAAATACTAGCTGCTGGGAAGGTTGATGAAAGACTCAAGGCCATTGGGGGTTCGTGGAGTCGTGATTTAGACGGACCAGACCCAGCTACAAATCCTCAGACGCTTGTCAACACGGCCATTCGTGTCTGTAAACAACTCATTGGTCTCGATTTATCGTACTGCACACAGTGGTATGTTACTCAGTTTTAACTTCTGATCTATGTTGCTAGTCAGTTTTTTTTCACAGATTATTTTTAAGCAGATATAAGAGTGTAATATTCAAATTTAACCCCCTTGCTCAATCATTTTATTGTTAACGAAATGTGTCATCTTCCCGCTTGACTACTTTTCCGTATCTATAAAGGGTTGTGTAGGGTAAATAAGCTGTCTCCACATTCATAGTCAGTCCAAATGCTTTATTTTTCTGGATTTTGTTTTGATCTTCGTACAAAAGCTCCAAAGAATCTCCACTGAAATAAATAAATTTATATCTGTTAGGTACTTATTTCTCCAAGTCTGCTCAACAACAAAACACTATCAGGTCATAAGTGTCACTATAGCGCTTTTGATTTTAAATCGATCCTAATTTTTTTCACAATCTCATTGCATAGCTTGATAATTTATCTGATTTTTAACTGTCCTTATATTGTTTATATACAAATATCAAACAATATGGGTCTTACGCGTTCCTTTGATCGACGTCGCGTTTACTGTTGTTATCATCCTGTCCACTTTCCCCAGGCACCGTTTCCTGGAGTTCCGCTATAGTCGTACTGAAGGTTCAACTGCACAACCAACTTCAGTTTTATTTCCTGGCTCTCAACTTTGGGGTCGACCCGTCACAGAATCTCCTGAATCTGATATGATTCCTCCAAGCAAACCGTTTCATCAAATCGTCGTATATTTTATTCCAAATGTTTGGTCACTCATGCCTACAGACGAAGAATGGTCGACTATAAAGCTGGCTTATGAAAATATCCTGGCTTCAAAAGAACCCAAAGTATTTCCAATGTCTCCTTCCAACTTGAAGAAGTTTTCTGGTCTAGAATCTGCTTCTAAGGGAACTGGTGACATGAAATTAAATGTGGTGACTGAACTGGATTCCAATTTACTGAAGTCGCCTACTCAAGACAATGCACATGAAGATTCCAATGTATCTAAAATGGATGAAGGCAACAAGTCAACTCTTCAAGCTCCAGTTGAATTCCATCGCTCTACCCCGTATTTGGCTGGTCAGGAAACTGTTCCAAAAGTAGCAGCTATCTCCGAGACAGAGGATGGGTCCGAATCTGTGGATTTAGCAGCTCAAGGAAATCCAAATCAGGAGGTTGCTACCTAACTTACTGTTGTCATATTATGTTCCTACAGTATATCTAGCATTTAGTCATTTAATTTGCATATGAAGTCTGTAATTTATTTTCGATCATGATAATGTAAATTTCCTCCAAGGTATAGTAACTGTTATGTTTATCTGTTTTTTCTGTCAGGGAACTGATAAATGCCAGAAAAAGCTTCATACTGAACTTAACTTAGCTAGCATGAAGGTAAGCACATTTACATGTCCTTCCATTTCTTATTGTCATAATATTTTAGAGCGGTACTTGCAGTGGTCTCAAGCCAGTACAATCATAAGCACAGGGACGTTCGTTTTTATTATATACTCTTGTACAATACTTTCCTTCACATCCTTAATAAAAATTTGCATAAAGTTTATAGTAACGCTCAGCATATTGAGAAGTTCCGATGGCTGAAATAATTACAACGTATCATTTCGAGTTTCCGACGATGCTTAGATCTATTGAATAGACTTTGCGATTGCTGGTGAATAAAATGCAACCTTTCTCTAATATACATATTTCACTGCAATAGTCAGTAAAATGTATACGACTATGATTGTTTACCTCCTATGAATTTATCCCTATGCACCAACAATGCTATTTGCTCCATGTAACGTTACCCGTGGTCTCTTGAAAACGCTCTCTAAACTACATGTTCAAACTCTCAATGTCCAAGTATTTTATCAACAAACTTCCATAGCTAGGACTGTAGAGTCCTGTCCCGTTGATGCTCGTAGATTATTCAGGCTGCAAACACAATAAATAGAGAACGCAACTTGAACGTAGACTGGGAAAAAGTCTACACCGTGATCATGAGCATTGGTGTACCGACAAACCAAAATCAATAAAAATGTCAGTGGCAATAAGCGACAGGAGACAACTTTACAAATTTATCAAAGAAACATTAAGAATTCGCCAATTACTGAAACTATTTGAAAAAGATGAAACCCCACTCTGAACCCCGGAGGCCAAAACGATAGGCTTAACATTGAAGAACAGTTTAACCACTCTGCATCTACCCTTCAGATACCTACTATTACCAAACAACTTAAAATGTCAGCACAAACTATTCGACTCTTGAAAATGTAAAAGAAGCCATAACTAATCTAAACCGAGAGAAAGCAATAGTCCCTAAGGATGGTGTTCCAATTATGGCTATTAGATCGACTGAGATCTTGGCTAGAGTTTGGGAAATAGATGTAATTCCGCCTGACTGGTTTCAATTGCTGATCGTTCCAATCTATAAGAAAGGACGAAAATCCCCTTGCTGTGGCCATAGAGGCATCAGTTTGACTAATGATGTCTAGAATTTTAAACTCAATAATCATGCAACGGTTACCTAGGGCTTATGTGAGGTAAACTCGGGGGAACCAAGCTGATTTCAGACCTAGACGTGGTTGTGTAGACTAAACATTCACTCTTCGTCAGACTCTGAAAATATACCTACCAACTCTCAAGCATGGTTGTATCTCTCGACCTTATGGTGGCCACGTTCAACTCCGTAGATCGATAAGCTTTACCATGATTGTCTCTTCATCAGGTTGTGCTTAAAACGTTTATGATCACTTTAAAGGCCTTGTGCACAGACGTCTCAGGCCGAGTGGAAAAATGTAATCGCCTCTCTACCTTTCCAATCTAATGAAAACGTTCAGTCTCACCATTCTTCAACCGTTCCATCTATAACATTCTGAATAGGCTCTGGTAATACCTGGTGGGGCGTTCATCTGATACTTAAAGATTTCGAGCTAGCAGTGTCTGTCATTGAAAGGTGTACCTCAGAAGTACATCAACCTTGTGAAGGCTTTTTACTTGAACACTACCAGTGGAGTCAAAGCTTATGGCAAACTGTCATCTGATTTTACAACCTCAAGTGGTGTCCGACAAGGCTGTCCGCCATCCCCATTTTTGTTTTACTTCATCATTAACCTACCGTTGGAAATAAAACTCGTCGACTGGATTTTCAGGAATTGATCACTTACCAGGTTGCCCACTTATCGACTTAAAATACGCAGATGACATACTCCTGTTTGGTGCAGACGCTGACAAAATTCAGTCTTCTGTTAGAACTGAGTAACAATGCCAGGATATTTGGAATGCATTTCTTCCCCTCTAAATGTACTTTGCTTCATATCTTTCTTTCTTTATGTACTATATCCTTATATACAACCTTTCTTTTATGTATTACCATCGCTAAATTGACTACTATGAATCCGGTGTTCATTTTGTTGTGCTAACGCGGCATGGCAACTTGGACTGATGCATAAATGTGCCTGGTCCTTCGTTGTAGCTGACTGACTGAGTGGCTATTTATATTTTAACGGAGTATCCCGATATAGGTCACTTTTTGTCGCTCTAAAATGGTAGTGTTTATGGCTCATCCGAGATTATTTCTCCTCCACCCTTTTAATGCGTAGCATTTCTTAGCTGAGGTTATTCAGTCACTTTCTGTGCTCGGTCATCGTCCATAATGGTTTGCCAGTTTGTAACACTTGTATAAGTAATAACTAGGTTTGGTAATGTGTGTTCAGGTCATTTGGAATTATTTAATAAGTCTTATTCTCAAAATACCGACTTCACTGCTCCGGTCATGTTTTGCAGATGTCGTTCCAGGGACTTCCTGGAAGATCGAAAGGCGGATGCGATCGGTATATGGCGTGTATCCGTGATCCGAATGTAATTTATCTGTTTGGTATCTATTGGTCCAGAACTATTATCTGCGTCTTATAGTTTGCGTAACTGTAGACCAGAAAAAGAGTCAGTAAAGATCTGCCTGTAATTTTCGCTTAAATTCTTCATAAGACTTAAATAAACTTAACTAAACACAGTCTTTATTGAGTTTTAAATAAACTTTATCATCACATATCGTTTTTCTACAGTATTACCACTTTATTTTTGTAGTGTATTTTCGGTGTTCCGTTGCACTACTTGAATTTATATACTCAAAAATAAATGTTAATATTTAATGACTTTTGTAGGTTTCCGAACTGCGTGAACAGTTAAAAGCTCGCAATTTGCCTACTGAGGGAGTAAGAGCTCAGTTGTTGACTCGTCTCAAAACAGCAATTCAAGAAGAAGAAGAAAAGGAGTCCGCTAAGAAGGCTGAAAAAGAAAGTAAATAATTTCACAAATAGATGTTTGTGTATTCATCTAATTATATTCTCTAATTTCCCAAGTTTATCCATTTTCCTGATCTACACTTTCAGAAATGGAGCAGGAAAAAGCATTCCAATCCGTGACTATTGATAAGTCACCCCAAGTTTCAGAAGAACAAATAAAACCTTTAAATACGGAGTCTGGATCTAAATCATGGACGGATGCACCTAAGTTGACTCTCCGTGATCTCCCTTCAATAATAATCTTACGCAAGAAAACTGTTGATTTCACTGTTCAGTCAGTCGGGCTAGATGTAAGTAGATATTTTATGATTTCCTCTGTACTTCCTATCAGACCATCAAAATAACCTTGGTTTTTTCGTTCCTTTTGTTATAACTTGTGGCCGAGTGGATGCCCTGATAATGTATAACGTGATAAGATCGTCAATCACAGCAGCGAATTATCGATTGGAACAGTGACACACGGATATCGTACGAGCAGTCTATAGTACGTATCGGTTCCTCTTCTGCTTAACCCAGCCAGTTAAGCCCAGAACAGCCTTTGCGGCATGAATCATTGTATTTCAAACATACTGGGTTTATATACCAGTCAAACTGACCACATCGTACCATAAAATAGAAAATAACATATGTACAAGGTTTAGCCAAATGTGGCTGTGAATAAGGAGGACAGTAATCAATAGACTGATTGTAATTCATGAATGGCGAATTGTATAACAATATTTTATTGATCAAAATAAAGCTCATGATAAGGGAAACATGAACATGAATAGTTTAGTTATTTAGCGATTATACGATAAAAATATATGCATAATATTGGTCCATGAACAGACCCCAAAGTTACCATTAACTATTGTTATCGGGACATAACACCTTTCGTACGAATTAAAATAAACTGTTGGTCAACAATAAATTTCAGTATAAACCATAATGAATTTTTGTCGATAATACTTGCCACAAAACTGAAAGAAGGGACATCAATAGTTGAAGTAATATACCATCTTACTCGTAGTCGCCTTTCACATTACGTCACTCAAGCTTTTGCATTTTAAAGATCAAGTCAACCCGTATCTTCTGTTCGGTCAATCAGTCATGCGCAATTTAGAGCCCTGCACATACACATCAGTTCAAGTTGTCACATTTGAATTTCAATCGGTTGTCAACTGAATAATTTATGTTATACAATAGTTGAAGGTAGAATAAAGCGTTCTAAGGCTCCAGGTCGGCTGCGGAATAACGAAAATTATGTTAAGTCTCGTATCATTTCTAAATAATACTACGTCTTTAAGAATTTCCTTTAGTATCAACTCCTGATATGACTTAGATCAATATTAGATGTTTCTCTTCATTTTACATTCACTTCTCACATTTTTGTTCTTGAAGGTTGTTATGGATTCAAAATCTGATTTTATGGACTGTAGATCATATGAATTCATGTTTTGCATCCACACAATCTTCGACATGCTTCGCAGAGATTCCGTATTCACTTTGTTTCGTGCCCTTGTTACAGCTGCAGATAGAGGAATTTGCGCAAAACCTAGAAAACGCAGGTATTTTTAAAAGTGTATTGTTTATTTACTATCCTCCTGTTTTATATTGTTACTTCTTGTTCAAAAACTTGTTCATTTATTAATGTCTCCACGTGTTTTTGATGGTTTTACAATGTCATCTGTTGTTTTATTAATTCTTGTATTACACTCTAATGTGAGTGCGTTTTTGAGGACTTTCAACAATTCCTTTTTTCTTAGTGAACCAGATTACGTAGCTAAACGTGCTCGTTTAGAACGTAATGAAAGGACATCTGTGGCAAAAGACGAGGAATTCAAGGAAACCCCATTATATACAACGGATTTGCCTTTACTTTTTGCATGCACGGTACTGGATACAAGCTATAAGAGTTATTTTCTTTCGTCGGAGGTCGAGGACTTCATTCTTTCACTGGGCTTGCCTATCTCTCGATACCAGGTGAGCGGTCGTTTTTAATCTTCACTTAACGGGATAGTTGTTAACTTTTCTTGTACATGTCCAACATTTATTTTCATGTTATTACCCCTTCCCAAGCGTGTTATTCTTTTTCCATGGCCTATAAATATCTGATTCCGGTTAGGTTAGTTTGTTTCACTTCATTTAAACACATGAGCACTGGTGTTGGGAGGCAACAAAACATACGTAATAAGATACGTAATACGTAATACGATACGTAATAAGAAAATGAAATTGTGAAAAGACGGAAAAAGGAAGGTAAGTATTATCTCTAAAAAAACGAATGAGAGTAAATACTAATAATAATCATTCGAATTGTGTGAAAGCTGGAATCATGCCCGGGTTCTCAAACAGAAGAAAATGGTTTTCTTAGGGGGAGCACCCGCCGAACCTTTGACCGGGAAGTCTAATCTTCATGACAGCAACGTTAAGAGATGCAGTCCCATGGTAGTCCGTGACCAACAATAAGCTGATAGGCGATTTGCTCTCAGAAACCTGGAGCCCATGTGCACCATCGGTTTAGAATAAGGGTCGTTCAACTTCCCTTGGTAGATCCTCCGTATCCGTTAACCAGGTTGAAACGCCGGTCATTCTCTTTTCGTCCTGTCAGTTTCGTAGAAAACACCACCACATGAAGGCAGTGAGTAGGATTTCCCTGGTAGTAGCTCTATACGTGTAACTGTATGAACATTTCGTGAGGGTAAGTGGACCACCCCTACCCTCAACCGTACCAGGACATTAGGGAGCGTTTTGAACAATCTGCGAAGTATGACGCAATCCAATCGTTTGGACGCGATCAAAAATAGACTTATCTCCCGCTATTTGTTGCTTAGGTTACGTAAATCTCTGAGGATGACTTTCGTCAGTTCCATAACCAGGCCACCACTGTCTTTAAAAAGGAACGAGGTTGTCATCTGACCCTGAATATTTGTGGGGCTCAGACGGAGTGGACGAGTGATACTTCACTAGTCTTGAATACAGGTCCGGGATACACTATAAACAACGATGTTAAGTCTACCTAAAGACATAGCCAACTGTATCTGTTATTTGATCAGCATTTGTGTGCGAGCATTAAAGAAAACCTGTTTGAATGACACACGTGATTTCAGCAAGTCTGGGTCAGTGTATGACATGGTGTCGTGGCATGAAAGAAATCTGCAAAGGGCTAGCTTCCGTTGGTCCTTCACGACTCCCTGGTTGGGGTCCGAGAGATGGTGCAACACAGTGGCTAGAGACGTTATCAGATATGGCTCAGAATAGAAGTCAGTGGCGATCCTGCTGCAACCTTCTTTTACTTTCTACATAAAGAATGGTTCTAACTTTCCTAACTGAAAGAGTCTTCTGGTTGTACATTTCAGTCCGCCTTATCTTTTCATTCCTTCTCTTCCTACTTTCATTATTTTGTGTGGCGCATATGTACCTGGTGCCCTTTTGTACCAATATATATGTGTTTAAATAAATAAATAAATAGCAAGTCTGGTAGCATTCAACTTTCGACCAATTAGTCAGTGACTTGCGGTGGTTGAGACAGAACAGAATCTTCACCATGTGCGAGTTGCTGTATGAGCTTAAAACAAGAGAATACACAAAATGGGAATAAAAGGGAATAGACGAGTGACGAAATGTAAAATAAAACGAACATTAACAAATGGGTGTTAGGATAATTTTTTATGGTTGTAACGATCCCTTGGTTTGTATATAGGCTAGGATATTGTCCGGGTACCCAAACCGAAGCGATCGGTTTCCTTAGCGGACCACTCTCCGTGCTTTTGTGCTAAAGGTTTAAAAGTGAGCTAAATCTTTTGGAGTCATCTGCAGGAAACTAGATTGAAGTACACTTATATAATTAGTCAAGCATCCAACCTAGTGACTGTCATGTACTTATTTTTTTTCCGCTTATCTTTCATTGTTCTTTTATAACATATCGTTTTTCCTAGTTTTCAATCCGCAGATGTTTACAAATCCATCGCTGTTTTTCTTATTTAGCTTCGATCTCTCATATACAAAGTTCTTGATCATGGTCGTTTCCACTACCGTTCTTTGACGGATTCAGAAGAACCTCTTTCTTTAGCGAATAAATCATCTGTTATATTCTCTGATATTGACGATGATGAATATTTACTGGAACTTGTACGTGGAGGTGATGCTATTTTAGACGACCAAATAGATGCACAGCCTAGTGGAAGGTTAGTTATTTTTGTAGTTTATCTTAGTTGACTGTCGATTTCAGTTCAGTTTTGTAAATTTCTCATACAGCATATCATATCCAAACCCAACAGATGGAATATTTGCGTTTTTGATTTGTTCGCTACTGTGCATTGTTCGGTATTTTCACTATATTGTGTTATCAGCTAAATATTGTCTTATTTTTAGCATCATTGTACTTCAAAAGTCCGGTGAGTCAGTTAATTCTCAGGCGATCCATCCCGAAGAATATCTCTATCATGTCAGATCGTCAGAACGCGAACACTCCAAACTGATGACTCAGATCCGACTTCAAGAACAGGAAATTGGTAAGTCTCCACCGAAGCTATATATATGTATATTCCGAATTATATATATATATATATATATATTTGCCACTCCAAGCAGATCGGTTGAAGAACAGCAAACCTAAAAGCAGCTGAGCTAATTTATACTACTGACTGTACAGGTGTGCTCAATAAAATACTTCCTCTTATTCCTCAGCACAGGTTTAGACTCTATGCTCTAGGGCAAAAACCCAATTGCTTACTTTTTATTGGACGCGGTAAAATGACACATAAATGACCTCTTTAAGTTCAGCTTGACGATAAAAAGTATCCGTCAAGAACAACAAAAAAAACTGAACCCCGGAGGCCAAAACGATAGGCTTAACATTGAAGAACAGTTTAACCACTCTGCATCTACCCTTCAGATACCTACTATTACCAAACAACTTAAAATGTCAGCACAAACTATTCGACTCTTGAAAATGTAAAAGAAGCCATAACTAATCTAAACCGAGAGAAAGCAATAGTCCCTAAGGATGGTGTTCCAATTATGGCTATTAGATCGACTGAGATCTTGGCTAGAGTTTGGGAAATAGATGTAATTCCGCCTGACTGGTTTCAATTGCTGATCGTTCCAATCTATAAGAAAGGACGAAAATCCCCTTGCTGTGGCCATAGAGGCATCAGTTTGACTAATGATGTCTAGAATTTTAAACTCAATAATCATGCAACGGTTACCTAGGGCTTATGTGAGGTAAACTCGGGGGAACCAAGCTGATTTCAGACCTAGACGTGGTTGTGTAGACTAAACATTCACTCTTCGTCAGACTCTGAAAATATACCTACCAACTCTCAAGCATGGTTGTATCTCTCGACCTTATGGTGGCCACGTTCAACTCCGTAGATCGACAGATTTTGTCAGTGTTTTTCATTGAAAGGCGTACCAATTAAGTACATAGACCTTGTGAAAGCTTTCTGCTCAGACACGGTTGGTCAAGTTTGAGTCTACTATCTCCATTTTTATTTGGTTTTATCATTGATATCCCTCTAGAATATTTTCTTCAATTGAATTCCCAGGTGTCGATCTCCTGTCAGGAGGTTCTGTTTTCGATGAAGAACCTGAGAAAATCCAGTTCTCTAATCGACCTGGTAAACAATGTTACCATGTACGGGGTGCGTTTCCCTCTCACTAGCCTCAAGGTTGTTATGACTCAGAATCGTTTGTGGACGTGCTTCGTTCTGGGCGGCCGGGCAGTATCACAGCTCACACACAAATCGAGTGACTTGTGTAACGCATTTGTATCCGATGCTCCTTTGTACCAATATTTGCATAAACGCTCAGATACGTGCATTCTTTCTATTCCATCTTATCTCGAATCCCGTCAAATCCTTACATATTCCTTTTCTCCGCAGTTAATTCCGTTTAGTGTTACTGATATTTGCAATGCGTCTATCATTCTAGGATTTGTCCTTACATGTTTTTGCTCATTGTGCTCTCATAACATGGCAAAAGGTACCAATACATATATGTCGGACTCTACGTTCCATTCAAATGACTGACAAAATGTTACGTTCGCATTTTATCTGTGTTTTACTTTTGATTCTTTTTACAGCCCGTCTCCGTGAATCTGTTGTGGACTTTTCAGAACTGAAAGATAGGTTGTCTAGAACTTCTTCAAGCATGGAGGAATATCGAAGACGATACAGGGATGAACGAGACAAAGTTGACTCTCTGGCTCGTGTTTTGGAACAACAGGCATCTGTTCTTGATGCCTGTCGATCGGCACTTCGACAGGCATCCAGTCGTTTTTATATTCGTCATTCTGTTAATGACTCATCTAAACAACTCAAGCGTTCGTTATCACCTTGTTCAGTGACTAGTAACAAAGAATCGATCAGATCTACAAAGCAAACTAAAACCTCAGATTCACTTACAAACGACCTGTCACTATCTGATTCGCTAAACGTAAGGTTCTTTTTTTTTCATTTTAGACTTCGTCACATTTTTGCAAATTTAATTTATTTATTTCACTACAGGATGGAAATGTATCCAAACTTGTTGAAACAGATTCTTCTACAGTCAAGAATGTGTGTGAACAAACTCCTATGGTTTCGATTGTCAGTTCCGATGTTTCAGAAAATATAAGTGTGTAAATAAAAATTGATTTGGTCCCCTTTTTTGCCGTCTTAGTCTGCTTACTACTGTTTCATTTTTATATCGAAGCATTAGTTTATGGCTTTTAAAATATTTTACTGTGTTACATTGATCACAGTGTTACCTACAGTTATCGTGTTTTGTGAAAATACTTAAAACTCAAATTTTATAGTGCATAACTAGTCGGTGCTTTTTGTGAGTATCGATATTATCTTCAATGGGCCGCTCTTTATGGTTTTTTACGTTACTTAGTCCTCACAAACAGTCAATGAAGCGTCCCAATCTTGATTAGCACATGGCTTCCAAAGAATTCGTCACCTAGTTATCTTTTACTGTTCAAATCTCTGTGAAAAGTCAGTAAAGTCTTACCATTTTATTGACTTTCGATAACAAATTAATTTTCTTTGTTTTTCTCTTTAAATCTGGTCATTTTTATATAAATTTTTCAAATGTAGTTTATGAATGGATTAAAAACGGAAGAAGCTTTGGTTCCATGCAACGTTGACAAGGATGCTTCAACAGCTGTTGATCAAAAATGCCCTATTGTCTCTACACAAATAGAATCCGATATTGCACTAAGTATGTTATCTGTTGTCTTTTGTTTTAATGATCCTAAAATCCTTCTCATTACGTACTAATAAACTTCCTTTCAGGTACAAACGAAAAAGAAATGAAAACGCCGATTATGGAAACGCTTCCTAATTTTTAGCCAACCGTGCTCCTGTTCGCCGAAAACAAACAGACAAAAAAAGCATGGATTTTCTTTTAACAACAATTAAAATAAACATTTGTCTTGCCTTACATGTCTTTCTTAATTTCAAAAACCACGATTCCGTAATCTACCTGACATTTTCGTTAAATCTTACGTTGATCCGCGTCTCACTGCTCGAGAACAGTGATTTTATGCACAGTCCCGTCATCGGCTTATATAAACTCTAATTAGCCTATCCACTTCTCTAGCATGTCATCTCTGTTTCAACAATGTATATTTCATACTCAATCTGACATTGAGTAGTTTCCTGACCACTTGATTAGCAAAATTACAGGCTTAACCAGAATGCTAAGCAAAGTATGTCTATCCGATGTTGGCTGTATGCGAATTCAGTGGGGTGAGAGAATGAATGAAGTCTCTCTCTCTCTCCAACAGATGATAAGTGAGTTGTCCTACTGTGTAGTGAGAAAAATATCACATATGTAAAAGTGCTGACATTGAAATAAGACTAGACGTTCGTTCAATCTGACTCACTGTTGCAACTTATACTCTATTCGGAAAATGTAATGCAATGCATCGTATAGAAACAACAGGATTCTCAAAAATATCAGTCCTTATAAAATATTTGTAAAAATGCAACTCAATTAACTAGGAAAATATTCATGTAATCCGAAGTAGAAATAATTGGTAAAACCCTTTTACCAACTGTCAAAGGTTAAGCTGCAAACAATGCACTGAAACATATCGATTTCCTACATAACACACATTCTCTATGCTATTGTGAGTTCAAAATAATTTTTGCCACGTTCACTTTGCAACCGTTACTCTGTAGTGCAAATAAGCTCCACAGCATATATTTCACTGACTCCAATTTGCAATTGTCATTTTCATTAGAAGTTTGACTTTACAGCTGTTTTCAAATCAAGTTTGATTCCATTGCTAGCTTGTCATTCGAACTCATTGACAGCTGTGAAATCACTAGTGACAATTAAGGCATTTTCGTCAATAAATTCTTCAAAGTAGCAACAAACGATGTGGATCCCAATCATTATGATGCATGTTTCCTTTCCGATTGCACCATTAATAATTTACTGTGTATAGTTGATTATATTGTATCTATTAAAAATTCCAAACTACTAGATGTGGACATAGTCGAGTCTTATTTCAATGCCAACACTATTACATATGTGATATTTTTCCCCACTACACAGTAGGACAACTCACTTATCATGTGTTGGAGAGAGAGACTTCATTCATTCTCTCATTCCACTGAATTCGCATACAGCCAACAACGGATAGACGTAATTTGCCTGACATTTTCGTTAAATCTTACGTTGATCCGCGTCTCACTGCTCGAGAACAGTGATTTTATGCACAGTCCCGTCATCGGCTTATATAAACTCTAATTAGCCTATCCACTTCTCTAGCATGTCATCTCTGTTTCAACAATGTATATTTCATACTCAATCTGACATTGAGTAGTTTCCTGACCACTTGATTAGCAAAATTACAGGCTTAACCAGAATGCTAAGCAAAGTATGTCTATCCGATGTTGGCTGTATGCGAATTCAGTGGGGTGAGAGAATGAATGAAGTCTCTCTCTCTCTCCAACAGATGATAAGTGAGTTGTCCTACTGTGTAGTGAGAAAAATATCACATATGTAAAAGTGCTGACATTGAAATAAGACTAGACGTTCGTTCAATCTGACTCACTGTTGCAACTTATACTCTATTCGGAAAATGTAATGCAATGCATCGTATAGAAACAACAGGATTCTCAAAAATATCAGTCCTTATAAAATATTTGTAAAAATGCAACTCAATTAACTAGGAAAATATTCATGTAATCCGAAGTAGAAATAATTGGTAAAACCCTTTTACCAACTGTCAAAGGTTAAGCTGCAAACAATGCACTGAAACATATCGATTTCCTACATAACACACATTCTGTATGCTATTGTGAGTTCAAAATAATTTTTGCCACGTTCACTTTGCAACCGTTACTCTGTAGTGCAAATAAGCTCCACAGCATATATTTCACTGACTCCAATTTGCAATTGTCATTTTCATTAGAAGTTTGACTTTACAACTGTTTTCAAATCAAGTTTGATTCCATTGCTAGCTTGTCATTCGAACTCATTGACAGCTGTGAAATCACTAGTGACAATTAAGGCATTTTCGTCAATAAATTCTTCGAAGTAGCAACAAACGATGTGGATCCCAATCATTATGATGCATGTTTCCTTTCCGATTGCACCATTAATAATTTACTGTGTATAGTTGATTATATTGTATCTATTAAAAATTCCAAACTACTAGATGTGGACATAGTCGAGTCTTATTTCAATGCCAACACTATTACATATGTGATATTTTTCCCCACTACACAGTAGGACAACTCACTTATCATCTGTTGGAGAGAGAGACTTCATTCATTCTCTCATTCCACTGAATTCGCATACAGCCAACAACGGATAGACGTAATTTGCCTGACATTTTCGTTAAATCTTACGTTGATCCGCGTCTCACTGCTCGAGAACAGTGATTTTATGCACAGTCCCGTCATCGGCTTATATAAACTCTAATTAGCCTATCCACTTCTCTAGCATGTCATCTCTGTTTCAACAATGTATATTTCATACTCAATCTGACATTGAGTAGTTTCCTGACCACTTGATTAGCAAAATTACAGGCTTAACCAGAATGCTAAGCAAAGTATGTCTATCCGATGTTGGCTGTATGCGAATTCAGTGGGGTGAGAGAATGAATGAAGTCTCTCTCTCTCCAACAGATGATAAGTGAGTTGTCCTACTGTGTAGTGAGAAAAATATCACATATGTAAAAGTGCTGACATTGAAATAAGACTAGACGTTCGTTCAATCTGACTCACTGTTGCAACTTATACTCTATTCGGAAAATGTAATGCAATGCATCGTATAGAAACAACAGGATTCTCAAAAATATCAGTCCTTATAAAATATTTGTAAAAATGCAACTCAATTAACTAGGAAAATATTCATGTAATCCGAAGTAGAAATAATTGGTAAAACCCTTTTACCAACTGTCAAAGGTTAAGCTGCAAACAATGCACTGAAACATATCGATTTCCTACATAACACACATTCTCTATGCTATTGTGAGTTCAAAATAATTTTTGCCACGTTCACTTTGCAACCGTTACTCTGTAGTGCAAATAAGCTCCACAGCATATATTTCACTGACTCCAATTTGCAATTGTCATTTTCATTAGAAGTTTGACTTTACAACTGTTTTCAAATCAAGTTTGATTCCATTGCTAGCTTGTCATTCGAACTCATTGACAGCTGTGAAATCACTAGTGACAATTAAGGCATTTTCGTCAATAAATTCTTCGAAGTAGCAACAAACGATGTGGATCCCAATCATTATGATGCATGTTTCCTTTCCGATTGCACCATTAATAATTTACTGTGTATAGTTGATTATATTGTATCTATTAAAAATTCCAAACTACTAGATGTGGACATAGTCGAGTCTTATTTCAATGCCAACACTATTACATATGTGATATTTTTCCCCACTACACAGTAGGACAACTCACTTATCATCTGTTGGAGAGAGAGACTTCATTCATTCTCTCATTCCACTGAATTCGCATACAGCCAACAACGGATAGACGTAATTTGCCTGACATTTTCGTTAAATCTTACGTTGATCCGCGTCTCACTGCTCGAGAACAGTGATTTTATGCACAGTCCCGTCATCGGCTTATATAAACTCTAATTAGCCTATCCACTTCTCTAGCATGTCATCTCTGTTTCAACAATGTATATTTCATACTCAATCTGACATTGAGTAGTTTCCTGACCACTTGATTAGCAAAATTACAGGCTTAACCAGAATGCTAAGCAAAGTATGTCTATCCGATGTTGGCTGTATGCGAATTCAGTGGGGTGAGAGAATGAATGAAATCTCGGTTTCCAACTTCTCCTATTTTAAATCAGTCACATGTTTATTGGTGGAAACCAAGCGAATAAAATAAGGTGTATCGCCTCAGATCATCACTGAGCAGCACCCAGATTTAGGCTGTAACGCTCGGATCGTTAGGCAAGCGGCACTGAGAACGCTCGTCACATGCTTCTATCGAAATTCTGCGTGTTGTGTACGGCAACGTATTCAGTTGACCCACAAGATTTACTGAGTGAGAAACTAATTACTATGGTGAGCGCCTGGGGTCGAATTAGAAAGGAACAACTTCAATCCGATAGGCACCGGGCATCAACAACACCTAGGACTTCATGCTAGACTGGTCGGCTGTGGCTACCTGCTTTTCAACCAGTCCGCATTGTACTAGACATTTTACTCAAGTAGAGGTCCCGAGTAGTCACAAAGAAACCGCCTACAGAAAAGAAAACCAGCCGCAATCAATGGATTCCAGGTTGCATGAGGCAAACACGTTAACTGGACAGCTGGAGAATTGTACACACGACACTATCTTCACTTATCGTCAGCTAGCTGAGGACTTCGATGATAAATTAGAGCACCAGGAATTGTAAGTTAGCATGGTTTCACGCGACTGGCATACCAGTTCCTGCTATTAGTAACAACTTTAAAGCAGACTCAAGGTACTCTTTACCTTATCTATTAAGAGTTTTGAGGCAGTGACACCACCTACGAACGTTCAGTCAGTCAGCAAAACGTAGGACCAGGCACATTTACGCTTCGGTCCAAGTTGCCATACCTCATTAACACAACAAGATGAACACTGAATTCATAGTTGTTAGTTTAGTGGTGGTTGTATATAAGGATATAGTATAAGAAGGACAACAGACATGAAGCAATTTCAAATTTTGAGGGAAGATAAATAGTATATACACCTACGCCATTGTGATCGATTCTGAGCCATGTCACCCGGAGCCTCCAACCATTGGTTACGATAGTCACGCGGACCCCAACTAGATAGTCTGCATCTACCAACATGGCTTAGACTAGAAAGTTAGTAACTTCAAGGACTGATGCCACGTTTTGGTTTGGCCACCCCTTTCAACCATCCCCAACACTAGTCAGCATTTTGCGTCGTGGCAATCGGTATTCAGGCATACGTAACAAGTGATCCAACCATCTCAGTCGATGAAGGTTGACGACCTCATCATTTTCCTAATACCCTGTGTCTAACCTCACCGTTACTTACCCGGTGATCCCAGTAGATGTGAGCAATATTTCTAAGAAATCTGTGATCAAATACCAATAACTTACGAGTATCTTCTACTCTTAATGGCCACGTTTTGCAGTCGTAAAGTGGAACAGAACGAACTGGTGCACGGTATACTCGTCTCTTAATTGATAGATGGATATCTCGCCTTCTCCATAGGTGATGTAAGTTTACAAAAGCCAAACGAGCTTTCTGAATCTGTGCAGAGATTTCGTCAGACACCAACCCATTAGGGCTGATCAGACCTTCAAGATAAGTGAAGTTGTCGATGCGTTGGACTATTTCACTCCCTATCCTTAGTTCAGGTGTTGCCTCAGGCCAGTCAGTTATGAAGCAATAACCGGCATTTAGAGGAGGAGAAATGCATTCCAAACATCCTTGCGTTGTTGCTCAGTGCTACCAAAAGACTGCGTTTTATCAGCGTCTTCACCAAACAGGACTATATCATCTGCGTATTCTAAGTCGATAAGTCTACCTCCTGGTAGGAGATGGATGCCTGGAAATTCAGTCGACAAGAACGTTATTTCTAACGGTAGGTATGTGATGAAATTAAAAAGAGATGGAGATAGTGGACAGCCTTGGCGGACACCTATTGTGGTTGTAAAATCAGATGACAGTTCGTCATAAGCTCTCACTTGACTGGTAGTGTTCAAGTAAAGAGCCTTCGCAAAGTTTACGTACTTCTGAGGTACACCTTTCAATGGCAGGTACTGCCACAGGACCTCTCTGTCTACAGAATCGAATGCTGCACTTAAGTCAAGAGAAGCTATCATCGTCGGACGCCAATAAGCATGCCTGTGTTCCAAAACCTGACGAAAAGTGGATATGTGGTCGATACAGCCACGACCAGTTCTGAAGCCAGCCTGATTTTTGTGTTTGCAGTTCACGAGACTTAGTTAGGCGCCCGATAATTATTGAAGCTAGTATTTTAGATGCTATGTTAGTCAGACTAATCCCTCTATGGTTATCACAGGATGATTTTGGCCCCTTCTTATATATTGGGACAATCAGAGATTGTGACCAGTCAGATGGGATTACGTCCGTCTCCCAGATTCTAGTCAGAATATTAGTCAACCTAATCGCTAAAATTGGACCACCATGTTTAAAGACCTCTGGAGCCAATCCATCTGCTCTTCCTCATTCCAGATTAGCTGTAGCTTTTCGAACTTCAACTAGAGTCGGGGGACCTACTTCAATGTACCATTCAAACTGTCTGGGAATGATAGGTAACTGTCGAGTAGCTACAGGCCAGCTAAACTGTTCTTTGAAGTGTTCCGCGCATCGTTCCAAACGTCTGGACTGAGAGCATATAAGGGTTTCTTCTTTTTCCGAGATTGTCACACTTACGCTTGACTTCTTATTTCCAGTTTCTTTTACTAATCTGAAGAGTTGTCTGGTGTTACCCACAGTCGCTGCCTTCCCCATCTCTCGCTTTCGTTGCCCACCACTGCTTACGATCGTTCCGTAGACTTTTGGTTAACCTAGATCTAATTTTCTTTCGCTCGTCATCGTGTTCAGAGCCTGAAGGGGTGAGTTTATGAGAATTCATCAGTGCAATAGACTTAGGAGAAATCCATTGGTTTTTTGTAGCACTTTAGTTTAAATCACCAATAGACGTCACTGCTATTTCCACAGCTGTCTGTATATATTTCCAAGGTCAGCCTCGTTTTCAGAACTACCTAAATGTGAATTCAGGTGATCCTGGAAATTACTTTTGGTTTTCTCGTCACTCAGTTCAACCGTAATGGGTCTTCTTAGTGTCGTTTCTCTGCGTCCAGTAAGGCGCAAGCAAATGCGTGCTCGTATCAGAGCATGATTGGAGTCCAAACAGGTATTCCAGAACGAGTGAGTCTTCTATCGAGCCCCTCGAGCGATGACTGATGGCAGTATGGTCTATTTGAGGCCAGAAGGTCATCATGTTAGACGATATATCTCCTTATGCTTAAAATAAACGATTGTCTTAGCACAGTTGCAGCAGGCAATCACTATTATCTGTTCCCTGAGCCGGGATACTAAAATACTCACCTAAATATCTTTGTTTGGTTTAAGCTAAGTAGGCATTAGAAACACTTGCAACGAGTACTATGTCTGAGCGCTTAGCTTTATGAAGAAGTTCAGAGAGCTTTCTGTAAAGGTCATCTTTCCCTTCATCCGGGCTGCAGTCAGTGGGAGAAACGACGTATGTCCCTATCATTCCGAGTTTTTATGGAGCCATTTAACGGGACAGCATAGGCCCACCATCACACACTACAATCGCTCGCTAATTTAAAAGAGGAACAGAGAACAACAGTCGTGATTCGCGGAATCATGTTCTAGAAAAAAAACTGGTGTCAGGAACCACACGACTTCAGTGGAAGTAAGGACGACTAGTGGAGATGGCACCCGAGTAGTCTGTGTGGATTCTGTGCATCGACCTGAGTTGGCTAGAAATCTACGCACCGACAGTGAAGGACAGCGCGTACCGCCCGTCATGCGCCAATGTGAAGACCGATTACTTCGCCAACATATAGTAAAACATTACACGACTCATAAGCTAGTAACGGAATCACGTGGCTGGCAGCGTTGTGATACATAATGCAAATACATGTTACTAGTGCATTTCACCCTTATCTGGATAACTAACCTTGAGGACTAGACTAACCACAGGCCTAACCGATTGCTATCTAAGCTGAATTACTAAGAACAAAATCATACGATCTAGATGTTTATTCCGTCGAAGGTAATAATTACTCTTCATCACTTCCATTTTCGTCGTCACCACCTTGAGCTTTGCGCTCCTTTTTCCTTTTAACACGACCTGAAGAATCAAGAAAATGCTGTAGGTGAGCTTACCAGGGCGACCGCAACCATATGGAGATGTTGTACTGTATTCTATATGTTTTCCTGAGTCCAAACGTACCAGAAACCCAGGACAGTTGACCATTTGTTTCCTTACTCTTATGTGTCGTTGGCGGATGAGGACTCTGGCATGATGGATGCTTCTGGCCAAGCCAAGTTTAAAAACTTGAGTTTGAAGTCTTCGTTCTAAAAAGTCTTCTATCTTCAAGCCCAAAACGAAATCCAGTTTCATCCTATCTTCGGGAAGTACACCAACCCGAACTAAGCGTCTCAGCAGAGCGGACCCTTAAAATGAAGGACAAAGTAAGACTGGTACCTCCAAAAAGTCGTCTGGGGTCTTTATCATCCAGTGTCAACAGCTCGCGGGCTGACTTACGTATCTTGGCTAAGACATATTTTACTCTCCATACTTCGCGTTTGTTGCGCAGACCATATTCACCAATGAGCTTTAACTCTTGATCTAAACGCTCCTTCTCAAACGGTCTTCGCGGAGTCGCATAGGTCTTGCCAAAAACTTTAGGCACCCTGCTCATTTCTCACAACACCAACGTGAAGGGATCTAAATCTAGAGCCCCTAAATTCCTTGTAGACCAAGTGAAACAAATTTCAATATACAATATCTCGAGCAGCATCATATGGACTGAATGTGATTAATAATGAACAGTCTTACGTGACCATAAATGCACTGGGTCATCATTATTTTCCATCACATTCAGTTCTTAATTGCGATCAGGTCACTTAACACTGGTGACGATTAAGTCCTGATCAGTTTCAGTCTGGAAAGGACAGGAGTCTGGGTGGCCTGTTTGGTTCTTGGCAATGGTAGTCTCTCAGTTGATCTATCTTCTTTTCAAGTGTATCGGCAGACAGAGCTTCAACCACGTGTCGATGTAGCGAGTTCCACTCGTTAATGATTCGATGGGAACGTCGATAGTCAGCTGACAAGTGATTTGTTCCGGACTTGTGAACATTTTGAATTGTCCTCATAAATTCTCTGCTTTGGAAGACAAGAGAAGTGAGGGCATATCAGATGTGAATTTATCAGTAAGTAACTTAGAATATATGGTGAAGTCATCTCTTGTCCCTCTGAGTGATAATGGTTATAGGTTTCGTTTAGACTCTCTTAATACGACAGGTTAGTGATCTCGGAAATCAACATATTTGCGGTTCTTTAAACTTTTTCCAACAGCTAACTGTCGTTTTTAGGCTGAGGCTAGCTGGCTGTATGCAATACTCAGGTTTAGTATGAAAGAACACTGTATGTCTTATCTTTTTGCTCCCTCCAGCACTAATAATCTCCGGGGTCATAGCAAGAAGGTTCTGAAACCGCGATCTAATAAACTAAAGGTGGGGTCCCGTTTTTCTCATCGAGTGGTCAATGATTGGAACGCTTTACCAGAACAAGTGGTATCAGCACCATCAGTGAACATTTTCAAAAAGAAGCTGAACCTTCACTGGAAGGAAATCTGTCAGGATTAACACAGGTTCATCAACCTACTATCCTTATTACTGAAGTATACAAAGTAAATAGGATTTTATCATCGGAATGGCTCAATACTCTACGTACTGATCATAGGGTTCTAAAACCTTTAGTGGCTATCGTACTGCAGTATGCAGTAGAGTTCAAGTCTTTCATATGTAGTTTGGCAATCAATATGTACCATAATGCACTTGGAAGAATTTATCTGCAACTGCCGAATTCAAGACCATTTGAAAATTTCCCTAGGTCCTTTTAAAACTCTAGACAATCATCTTTACTTTCTATCACTCTCCATACGTTGATATCGTCAGCCAATGATGAAATGAAACTATGAAGGTCAGTTACACGCAGGGAGAACAATGATGGCCTTTAAGCTGTACCCTGAGGCACTCCGCTAAGCACAGTTTCTCAGTTAGACAACTTGGAGTTAACCCATACTCTATATTAAGGCCCAACTTGGATTTCCTTTATTCACACAAATAGTTTACCGCAAATTGAGACATCAACTTCTAGAGTTACTGCCGGTCTCAAGCCCGTACAAAGGAAGAGGGTTAGGCATGGGGTTAGCGACCCCATCCCGTGGAAAACTAACTCGCCAAACAAACGCTAATCAAAACAAATAATTCGGACCATGTAAACTCCGCCCTTTTTTCTGGTTAGCGTTTGTATGATGCAACCAAGAAACTTCCTGGACATTACCATAAGCCAGAAAGACCAGTGAAAAGCAAGGAACGCAAAGTAATCACCGACATTGAAGAACAACGAAACAGGTGGGTAGAACACTTCAAAGAACTCTTTAATCGACCAGCTCCACTGAACCCATCGAAGCAGCACCCACGGACCTCCCAATCGATGTTGTCCCGCCAACAATTGAATGAATCAGCATGGCTATTAGACAAATCAGGAGCGGCAAAGCAGCGGGACCAGACAACATCCCGGTAGAGGCACTGAAAGCAAGTGTAGCAGCAACTGCAAAGATACTCCACATCCTCTTCAATAAGATTTAGGATGAAGAACAAGTACCAATAAACTGGAAAAAAGGACTTCTGATGAAGATACTAAAGAAAGACGATCTCAGCAAGTGCGATAACTACAGGGGCATCACTCTTCTCTCAATAACAGGAAAGGTCTTCAACAGAGTATTGTTAAACAGGATGAAGGATTCCGTAGACGCACAACTTCGAGATCGACAAGCTGGGTTTCGTAAGGATAGATCGTGTACAGACCAAATCGCAACTCTGCGGATCATTGTGGAACAATCAATTGAATGGAATTCATCACACTACATCAACTTCATCGACTACGAAAAGGCATTTGATAGCGTGGACAGGACAACACTATGGAGGCTTCTTCGACACTACGGCGTGCCTGAGAAGATAGTCAATATCATACGGAACTCCTATGATGGACTGAACTGCCAAATCATCCACAGAGGACAACTCACCGACTCATTCGAGGTAAAGACCGGTGCTAGACAAGGTTGCTTACTCTCACCCTTTCTCTTTCTCCTGGTGATCGACTGGATCATGAAGACGTCAACATCTGGAGGAAAGCACGGGATACAGTGGACAGGCAGGATGCAGCTTGACGATTCAAACTTCGCGGATGATCTGGCTCTTCTATCACACACGACCAATGTAGCAGCAGCCTCAGCAGCAGTAGGTCTCAATGTAAACAAAGGGAAAAGCAAAACTCTCCGATACAATACAATATGCACCAATCAAATTAAACTTGACGGAGAATCTTTGGAGGATGTGGAAACCTTTACATATCTGGGCAGCATTATTGATGAACACAGTGGATCAGATGTAGATGTGAGGGCTAGGATCGCCAAAGCAAGAGCAGCATATTTACAACTAAGGAACATCTGGAGCTCAAAACAATTGTCAACCAACACCAAGGTTAGAATTTTCAATACAAATGCGAAGACAGTTCTACTGTATTGGGCGGAGATGTGGAGAACTACGAAAGCCATTATCCAGAAGATACAAGTGTTTATCAACAGTTCGAATCCGATGGCCAGACACTATCAGCAACAAGTTACTGTGGGAGACAACAAACCAGATTCCGTCTAGCGGAGGAAGAAATCAGGAAGAAGCGCTGGAAGTGGATTGGGCACAATTTGAGGAAATCACCCAACTGCGTCACAAGACAAGCCCTCACATGGAATCCTGAAGGTCAAAGGAGAAGAGGAAGACCAAAGAACACGTTACGCCGAGAAATAGAGACAGACATGAGAAGAATGAACAAAAACTGGATAGAACTAGAAAAGAAGACCCAGGACAGAGTGGGTTAGAGAATGCTGGTCGGCGGCCTATGCTCCATTGGGAGTAACAGGCGTAAGTTAGTAAGTAAGTAAACTCTGTCCTGGGGGTTGAAGGCAGAAATATGAGGCCTCATGATGGAAGCCAAGATTATTTGGAAGTCACGAGGCCGATGGCCCTTCTAACAACCAGAGCAACAACTATTATAGGTTCATGGAACGTCCGGACAGTGTGGGAGCCGGGGAAGACCAATCAAATAGCAACGGAAATGAGGAGATACGAATTGGCAGTACTTGGGGTCAGCGAAACCCGCTAAACCCAAGCTGGACAGCAAGGGCTAGATACGGGAGAGATGCTGCTGTACACTGATCACGAAGAGAAAAATGCTCCACACACTCAGGGAGTTGCTATAATGCTGTCCAATGAAGCACGAAATGCACTTGTAGGATGGGAATCTCACGGATCCGGAATTATCAAGGCATCATTCAAAACAAAGAAGGAGGGGATCACAATGAATGTTATCCAATGTTATGCACCCACCAATGATGGCAACGACAACGATTAAAATCAGTTCTACCCGAGGCTGCAATCAATCATAGGGAAGTGCCCAAGAAAGGATCTCACCATCCTGACGGGAGATCCAAACGTCAAAGTCAGAATGGACAACACCGGGTATCAAGATGTCATGGGATGACATGGATTGGGAGAGAGAAGCGAAAATGGAGAGAGATTTGCAAATCTATGTGTATTCAACAAATTGGTTATAGGCGGCACAATATTCCCCCACAAATGCATATACAAAGCTACATGGATCTCGCCGTACCACACCACAGAGAACCAGATTGATCATATTTGCACCAACAAAATGTTCCGAATACCAGTGGAAGATGTGAGAACCAGGAGAGGAGCTGACATAACTTCCGATCACCACCTCAACAGGCATCATTATAAGGGATGGATCTCGATGGGAACCCTGGAAAAGATTGATGAAATGAAGAACAAGAAGACAGTCATTAACAACATTCAAACATGAGCAGAGAAAGTCAAGGCACAGGCAGAGTACACAGAAGCAAACAAGCAAGTGAAGAAGAGCATTAAATCTGACAAGCAGAAATACATGGGAAAACTAGCAACGACGGCGAAAAAAGCTTCAAGAGAAAGCAATATGAAACAACTGTATGATACGACGAAGAAACTAGCAGGGAGATATACTAAACCGGAAAGACTGGTCAAGAGCAAAGAAGGAAAGACGATCACGAAGACTCAAGAACAGAGGAAAAGATGGGCAGAATACTCAGAGGAACTGCTGAATTGATCAGCCCCACTGAATCCACAGGATATTGAAGCAGCATACACAAACGCTCCTACGGATGTCACTCCACCAACGATCGAAAAAGTCAAGATGGCCACCAGACAGATCAAGAGTGGAAAAGCAGCAGGACCTAACAATATACCAGCTGAAGCACTGAAGTCAGACATTGAAGTACCAGCAAACATGTTTCACTTTCTATTCAAGAAGATTTGGGAGGAGGAACGAGTGCCAACGGAATGGAAAGAAAGACACCATATCAATATACCAAAGGAAGAAGATCTGAGCAAATGTGAGAATTACAGAGGCATCACACTACTGTCAGTACCAGGAAACGTTTCCAAAGGTGTTGCTGGACCGGGTGAAAGGCGCGGTAGACGCCCAACTTCGAGATCAACAGGCTGAATTCCGTAAGGATCGGTCGTGCACAGACAATTCGCAACATTACGTCTGTATCTAGTTCAGGTATTACACCACTGAAAATAAGTGTAGTTTTGTTGATCAACTACCTCCTCTGAAATAGTTGATCGACTGTCACTCAAGAAATCATTTCATTGATTTCATGAAGGAAGGGGTTAGAAAAGGTCGACCCTAGAAATGTCACTCCTCACCTTACCTCACGGATTTTCGTCTCCAGCGGTAAGGCTTTTTGAAGAACGGAGCTAACACGTCAAAAATCCCCCACAAAAAGGCCGTGCGTGACCGGCCTCAAGCAGTTGTCCCTTGGGCTCTGCGGTTACGCTCCCA